AGAATTGCAGCTTTTAATAAGAAAGTAAACAAGTGTTGTCTGCTCATATGTATTCTCTTTTCACTCAGTTTCTGTTGTGTATGTTTCTCTTTCTCCTCTGAGAACTTGATTGTTAAAGATGGTGAAGCCCTTCTCTTCCAGGTTAGTGGGAGCAGAGAGTGTTTGTTCCTTCGCTGCCTCATGCAAGCGATTTTCACTTTACTGCAGCACTTCTGTTGACTCAGCTCTTTGGGAATCCCAGTGTAGACAGGCCATTGATGTTGACTCTATTTCATCTAGCACTTCTTGCACTAGCATGCTGATCTGTTAGCACTAAAGGGTTAAGCATTCTTTTGGCCTTGATAGTCTCTTTAGTTGGAGTTACCATCATTAATTAAACAAATAATTAAGAACCAGATATCAGCTAAAGGAAAAACTGAGTGAAAGCTGCTTTGTTATACTGATAGGCAGATTCTAGTGCAATTCTTCCTCTTGCACTGTTGGAGAGATGTGTGTCTCTTTTTCAGAGTTTGAATTATACACTGGAGTAAGTGGTTGTTCTGGTTTAAATCCATATTATAAAATATAGTGGAATGTACAGGAAACACTCTGAAAAGTATTCTGAAAAACAGCAATGGAACTGTGATTCCTATTCTTTCTGTTCACTGTTCTCTTATTTATTTGCAGTCTGATCTTATCAGTATGTCCCGTGGGCTAAAACTGTGTCAATCTACTAAATAATTGAAACCAGATCGGCATTTTCATCTAATAAAACAAGGAATGCAGATTCTCTTCTGATTATTATTTAGTCTTTTTATGTAACTGTATATTCGCAGTGGAGTCATTTCCATACCTGATTCTACACTAGAGCAAGTCATAAAGTTTCCATCAAAACAAATCCACATATTTTCCAGCCTGCTTTAATCTTTGCACCCTCCCTGGTGCTCCCCTTTCTATACAAAATTATCTAGCTCTGTTTATGCTTTATTGAGTAGTAAATAGCTTGCATCTTTTACTGTTTATTGCATTTTCTCTTTGTGCCCTAACATCATTAATTTGTTTAGCCACATGTCTGTGGCTCTTTTGTGAAGGTGTCATTCCTCTTGCAAACTCGCACTGCAGACACAGCAACAGTGATGTGTCAGGATACAGCACAGAATAAAAAACATCCCCAGGAGTGGGAGGTGGAGAAAAGTTTTTATTTTTTTTCTTCTCTGTCAAGTCTCTATAAAGACAACTGAGTCTAAAGCCTTCACTTCGACTATGGCAGTATGGGGTCAATATTGTTCAATGTCTTCATTAATGACTTGGGTGATAGGACAGTGCATCCTCAGCAAGTTTGCAGATGATGCAAAACTGGGAAGAATGGTTGACTCACCTAATGGTTGTGCTGCCATTCAGAGGGACCCTGACAGGCTGGAGAAATGGGAAAGCAGGACTCTCATGAAGTTCAGCAGAGGGAAGTGCAAAGTCCTGCACCAGGGGAGGAATAACCCCGTCCTGGGGACTGCCCAGCTTGCAAGCAGCTTTGCAGAGAAGGACACAGGGGTCCTGGTGGACAGGTTGAACATGAGCCAGTAACATGCCCTGGAGGCAAAGAAGGCCAACAGCATCCTGGGAGTAAAGATTAGATGATGTCCCGAGGTCCCTTCCAGTCTCAACCATTCTGTGATTGTGTTGCAACACACAGGTTGATCCTAACTTGGGTCATGCTATTGTGCAGTGAAGGTGGTGGTGTGTGGAAGGAGGGCTGCTTTGCCTGTTGTAATAGTAAATGTGTCCTAAAAACATAAAACATCCTTTGTATTTTGTAATCTTCTGTCCCCAACCCCAAATCACTCATCTCTGTTTTGGTGAGGATTGTTTCTTTAAAGGACATCCATCTGAAGATTCATTTTGCTGTTGAAGGAAAAGCGAAGGGCAAACAGCACTTGAGAGGCAGGGTTGGGTTTGGCAGGTACGGTGCAAATGTGTGCCATGAGGTTTCTCTCGCTAATGCAGCTTGTTGCAGAACCTCATTAAGTGCTGCTCATCAGCCAGTGCTGAAATCATGCCTCTGCATTGAGTAAACGCTCAGCAGAGCTTTACAGCAACCTGAAGCCACTAAACTGCTTTAAACAGTCCCTGTCTTGCAGGATCCAGTGGTGAAGCAGCCCATTCCCATCTTTGCCCATTTTCTCTGGTCACTTCTGATAATTGTTGGTGCTTTTTTCCATGCACCAGCTTTGTCCTTCCTATTCTTAAGTCTCATTTTATCATATTAGCTGCCATGTCATGCTTATCTGGCACAATTCTGAAGGGTTGCTCAGTGGTTTGGTATCTGCACACCTCTCCTGACAGAACAGTTTTCTTTCCACCCCATTTTACTGCTCCCATTAGATGTTTTCAGATAATGTCTCATCTTGAGTGGTATTTGAAATCTTGGTGTCATCACGTAAATAAGAGTGTAAGGATGATGTGCTGGCCTTTTCTACTAAGATCATATACAACTTCGCATTGCATGAGTAGTTACTTAATAATGCCAAGTACATCATGAAAACACAGATTAATAGCTCTGTGTGATACGCTTTTTCTTGTACTGAGTCACTGTGTTTTTGAGCACGTAGAGCAATTACCTCTGATTCACCAGAGAAGCAGAAGCCTGATTTTTCTGCTGTGAAGACACATAAGTTGGTGTCATACCTGATGGAGTTTTAAACACAGTTTGTGTTAGTCCAATTCCAGTGTGTTAACATGTTCCTGTGTTATATCCATAGCAACTTCCTTTTTGCCCCTGCTTTGTAGCCAAGTCTACGGAGCTGCCATTTTTCTGACAATAGTTACTCAAAGTAACATGTCTGTAGTTGTCCAGCCATAGCAGCCTGCTAGCTAGCAGACCAGCCGATTTAGGGTCATGTGGGCTTGCTACACTATGGAGAAAAGGTCACATTCCACACCTGCATTTTCTAAAGAAAGCTGTTGTTGGCCTCTATTTCAAAGGACTTGGTTTATTTTCAGCGCCAAGTGACCGTGGAGAGTTCAGTCACAGAGCTGGAGGAGAATGCAGGAACAAGGTGTTTACAAAGTTGTTTCCTCCAGCCTTGTGTTTGACACTTGCATTCTTGGCTGCTCTTTTGCCATTTTGTTTGGTATTTTATAGAGCTGGTGAAATCCACTTTCTCAAGCAGGTGCTATGAAAACTTCCCAATCAGCTCAGCCCATGCCGCTAAGTCTTATCAGTGCCGTAGAGCAAGACATCCTCTGAGGAAGCTGGATGCTGCTCAGTCATAGCCAGCAGTGCCCTTTGCCATTATAGAGAAGCAGTCCTCACCTGTAGCTCAGCCTGTGACCCTTAATCCTGACCTTCAGTGCTCTTCAGTACTACCTGCTTGCTGCCGGGTTGAACTCTGCACAGATTCTTGCCAATACATTCAGTCCTCATCCACAGCTCCTATGCAGAGCTTGCTGGTACTTTGAAACTTCTACAGACGTGTTTGTCATTTTAGTCCCCAAATTCAGGCTCTCACAATAACCCTTTAAAGAAACTGCACTGCTATGACCTAGTATAGCATTGATAGTTTCATGCCAACATCTCTCAGTGCCCATAGCAAGGCCTGGAGGTATGTGAAAGTGCTGCCCAGGGAATTATTCTCCTTAACTGAAGAGCACAGTGAAGGCTGTGTGTCAGCTGAGTTGCCGTGCAGGGGGCTTGGCTCTGCTTTCCGGTTCCACAGCTTCCCAGGGTAGCAGGGGTGGCAGAGATAAAGAGCTCAGCATGGTGGGGAAGGGAGTGACCTGCTTCATTCAGGAGAGATTGCTCTGGCTGATTTAAGAGCTGTGATGCTGGGCCCCAGAGGAAGCTGCAGTCAGTTCTCAGCAGGAAGGAAAATGACCGCATGGAAGGGTGGTTAGTGGAGGGGGTAGGGGACAAAGGGTAAATGCTCTTTGTCACTGATGGATTTACCTATGAGTTGGTCACAGCCTGGGCAGTGGGGTATGAGAAGCAACACACAAGTCGTGTAGCATATCCCAGGGGGCTTTTCACACATCTTTTAATTTGTATTTTTAATCCAACACAATTGCATGTTTTATAGTAGCTCTGTAAATGCTCTTATTGCTTGAACACTGTACCTGATCTTGGACTAGAAAGGCAACCACATGGAGGGGCCTGGCTGCAGTTCAGTTATTTAACCGAGTAACCAAAAAACCTCCTTCTAGTTCACGGCAGTAATCCTCTGCTCAGTGACTGTGCTGACTGCGTGTCAGTGCTGAGGCTCTCTACATGCTCTCTGTCCACTTACCACAGTTACAACAAGTTATTTTCATGTTTTCTGTATGGTGAAGATGATTAGAGAAAGGCAGCAGTGGATTACCATCACAGATTGAGCCAATGGCCAGAGCAAGGGATATGAACTCCTCCAGAAAACCCATGGGAGAAAACCTGAATGTTGTTTTCCAGATTCTAACTATTTTAGCTGTACTGCAGCCACTACATCTGGTGTACGTGTACATATGTAAACTACCTTTAAACTTACTAGCTCGCCTACTGATCTTAGTCTAGCTTCAGGATAAGTCTGAGTTTAGCCTACTTCACAAACTGTTTAAGTACTCAGGAAGAGTAATTATTATTTGCCCTGGAGAACTTTTATCCTTCCAAATCCACTTAGATTTTTAAACATTGTTACTACATTACTGCCTAGTTGTATACAGACATCTGAAAAAGTTAATCCAATGTCCTCTTTGGGATTTTGGGAGTTGAGAGGGTCTTCATGGAGTAGGAAATAGGGGGAAGTTAAGGGATGATTTTCATTGATACTTTTTTTAATATCAGTCTCTGCCCTGATCAGCCTTGTGGTGTTAGTTCTTTCTTCGGCCTAATTTCTGAATATAAATGAATTCACAGCTTATGTCCGGAACAAAGCAGAAATGTGAGGCATGTCCTCAGTGCCTCCGTGGCAGGTGTCCATGCTGTCACTGGGTCAGCAGCTGCTGCCACAGGAACTGCTGGCCTCGTGGAACGCCGGAAGCGAGGACCTTTCAGCTCCTCTCTGCCAGATGCTCTCACGTGGCAAAAAGCCCTAGGGATGTACCTGGCTGAGGTCGACCTGTGTTTGTCACGGCAGGCACAGCACGTGGGTGACACATGAACACAGCTGGGAGCGGTAGTCATTTGGACCTTGGAAAAAAGGATGGGGATGGTTTTGTTTGCTTCCAGGCTGATAAAACAGAACTTCCGTGGTCTGCATTTCTTCTCCCAGATCAGGACCAGATTAGGGTCAGGTGCTGGTGGTGCTGCCTGCCCTCATGAAATGCTTTTGTTCTGGACTGACATCTGTAGGGGTAAGTCTTTATCCATAACCTATTCAGTCTTTGAGTTTGCCTGTTGAGATTCCTGGTTACAAATAATTAAAAAATAAGTTCCCTACGAATCCTTGGTCAAAGGCAGCTGGGACTCCATTCAGATTAGCATTTAGATGTGACAGACAGCGGTGGAGCTAGAGCAGAGGGTGTGACAGGACACTGTCAGATCCTGTTAGATGGGGGTTTTGAGTGACTTTGGCCAAACCCCATGATTTTGCTGGATTCTTCTGTGAAAAGGGCAAAATCATCCTATACACATTGTGGCCTCCTAGGCCATTACTGAGCGCTTGCCCAGAGCTGGACAGCTTGGTAGCATTCAAGTCACGTGGTTGCTTGTAAAACAGCCACGACATTTCATGATCTAGTATAGCTCAATGGTAAACTCTTTCCAAGCGTTTTGTTGCCTTTGGTACCTGCTACCCTGCAATTGGAAACCCATTTCCTGCCCTTTCATCCTCTGCCTTTCTGATCTCTGCACGTCAATGTCGCTGGTGGGGATTTTATCTATTTCTGTTTTTTTGTCTCAGGCAGCTTTTGTCTCCATGCTTCCACTTCCTGAGTGTGCAGCTGGCCGGACTGTTAATCAGCAAGGTCATGTTTTGATGCGCGTTGTTTTTAGGGGGATGGGGGAAGAATGGATGGTTGTTCCGGGGGAGATACAGATTTTCCAAGTCAGGAAGGAAAGATGAAGGCGGAAGGAGAGCCTTACAGACCAGGTTTATTTGCACAAAGGAAAATGGAGGCTAGGGTTGGAGATGGAATTCAGAGCTTGAGTATGGAACTTTGCTTTAGCTAAGACATCATCTCTGTGTGTCAAGTTTTCCTTGATGTCTCTTTGCTCGTGTCACAGCAGGAGGTCCTGAGAATTAGTTAAATGACTGCAGGTGCTCATCACCCCTTGAAATACTGGATTCGGGTAGACTGTGTAGCAGCAGTTAGGTACAAAACCCAGGGCACTTTGCCAGTTACTGTACCACGGTGAAAGTAGCACACTGCTCACCTACTCCAGAAATTCAGCTTTCTTAGAAGACACACGTTTGCAAAGGTTTTTGGGGCCTGAGAATGTTAGAAGACCTAAGTGAGTTTATCTAAGCTGTCTTTGCTGCGTTATAGTTATATATCCTGCTCTGCTTCACACGTGCCAGCCTTTTCTTCCAAAGCAACAAGTACTTCAGGAAAGGAGGCTCCCCATGCTCAATTTTTAATTCGACCAGAGAGAAATGAAGTAGCACAGCCCACATCTTTAGAGGGGTCTCGATCACAATGGATCTCTTGCTGCCATTGACTATGACTACCTTCATTTCCTTATTTTCAGAAATGAAGTCACCAGTTCTAGTCACGCTGGACTCAGTGTATCTGGGGGGAATGCAGTTCCTGCACTGCCCTCCCTTTTCCCCTCGCACGCATGCTGGTGTCACAGCGACCGTTATTGGCTCAAGACCTGTCTCCAAGGCACAGAGTTGGGGATCACGTAATCGCTCTGGGTAATAACTTGCTGTTGACTGTTTCCTGGGAGGAAAGGAAAGGCAGGAAGGAAAAATAACAACTGGTCAAAAGTTCCACTCATGCAAAAAAAGAAAAAAAAAAAAAAAAAAAAGGAAATAAAAGTTGAATCAGAAGAGCTGGTTTCATTCAAGAATACAGAACTCTACAGAACAGTAAGATGCTAACCTTTGTAGCAGAAGTTGCTGCTTTCTATGTATGTATTTGTTGCAGGGCAGGTTGGGGTAAAGAGATGCAAAGTGAGTACATGACAACATTCCCCGTTTTCTTTGGTGAACTACTTCAAAGAAGCCGTTGAGTCTGGCAGGGGGGCCGAAAGCCAGCGCATCCCGCTTGCCCCTTATTGGTGCTCCTGGGCCTCAGCCCAGAAGTACAGTACAACATAGCAGAGCTGCGCTTAGTTAATACGTTACAGAGTTAAAATGACAAAATGCTGTTGGGTTGCAATTTCACGGTAATTTTAAGCTCCCCCGGGTGTGAGGTACGGCTGGACGCAGCCTCCTGCCGCGGAGGTGTGGAGCGTTGGCCCAGCCGTGTTTCCCTGGATGGGAATATATGTATTTCTCTGGGCGGGAGGTATATCCCAGCACCTCTGTGGGGGGGACGGCAGCGCACCCCGGCACAGCCGGGCCACCCCAGCTCCCTGACCTGTGACACCCCTCTTCCCAGGTGGGGTGAAGGACACGGCGAGGGGCTCCCCAGAGCGGCGGCAGACGGCCAGCGGGGAAGAAGGAAGTCAGGAGCCTTTCCGCCCGGCACGGCGCCCCAGAAGAGAATCAGCAGCTCCCCTCCAGGAGCAGGTAAAGCCCCCGGGAGCGCCCCGAGCCCGGCGGAGCGGTGCGGAGCGGGATGGCGGCCGCCCCGCCGGCTCCACGTGGGCGCCGCCTCACGTGACCCTCCCCAGGCCACGCCCCCGCGCCGCGAAGGGGCGTGGCGGGGCGGTTCCCCCCCCCCCCCCATCTTCCTGGCTGCGTGGGGCGGGGCGCGCCTCTCGGTGGGGCGGGGCCGTGCGTGACGCCACGCTCGCCCGGTCAATGGGAGCGCGGCGCGGCGCGTGGGGCAGGGCCACCATTGGCGGGCGGTGATGTCAGGGCGGCGCGGGGCAGCCCGCGGAGCGGCGGTGAGGTGCCCGGGGCTCGCCGGAGGGCTCGGGGGGGATCCGGGGGGGGCCGGGGCAGCCCCGGTGCCTCAGGGAGGGGGCCGGGGCAGCGCTGTCCCCGCCGGCAGGGCTGGGCCTCGGCGGGGGCCGCTCTGGAGGTGGTGGGTTTCGGGGCTGCGGGGCTCTGCGGCACCCGCAGAAGGGACGGAGTGTGTGTCCCGTCCCCCCCCCCCCCCCCTCGGCCGCAGGCCGCCCTCGGGTCTGGGCTCACGGGAGGCAGCGCTGGCTGCCGCGGTTGTGCCCGGTGGCTCCGTGCGGGGCTTTAGCCCTCCAGGTGTCTCTCGGGTGCTGGTTTCTGGGGGCAGGGGGAGGAGAGAGCTGCTCTTTTCCCCTGACACAGCCCCCCGGAGGCGTGTGAAGGGTCGCGAAAGAAGGTTTGAGGAGTGGAGGGATAGTACGGCTAATGGCTGTGCCTTCAACGTACATTGGAGGGAAAGATTGTTGAATGAATGAGCTGTTACGCTGACTGCTGCGAGACCCAATAGAATGTCTGTTTTCCTCCCATATATTTCAGGTGAAAGACGAGTTCTTGGAGAGTGACGTTAAATCCAAGGCTGTCCAAATGCCAGCTCCCACCCTACAGCCTGCTCAGCTCAGTTAAGTAACCTTAACTGGGAGCTTGCTGTTACTTTAAATAAGAACTGTCATTGCCTCGTGCTGTAAGGTGAGAAAATCGTCTGGAAGAAGAGGACGACAGTGACACTTGGAGCTTACTGGTATCGCTGGCCATTTTGGCAGAGAGCACAAAACAGGCTGAATCAGAGCAAAAGCCCACAGGAGCCTTCAGACTCAAATTCTGCAGAGGGACAGTGCTACTGGAGAAAGTGACAAAGCCCTGGTAGTAAGAAGAGATTTTCTGGATTGTATCATCTCTAAAAGCCAGTCTCTCTCGTATCTACTCCCTGCTTCCTCATCACTTTAAGCTTCTGTGTTATTCAGTGCTCTTCATCTGTTTTTCTCTCTGCTTTGTGTACCTCATCACAGCAGTTGTGCTGCTGGAAGAAGACCTGCAGGAAGATACACTAAAGTGTCACACATCAAAGAAGAAAAACTTGGATCCTGCCTCAGTGGCTGCTGTACCGCATGGTGCTGGAGAGGAGGAGAGCTAGAGTGAATTTGCTGTAGTTCCCGGTTCCTGCAGTGTTCCCTGCTAGCTCAGTGGTTGGTGTCCTCCATTCCTGGACTTTGCTTGATGGGGATCTCTGCTTCAGGAGCAGTCTCTGCACTCAAAAGCAGGCAAGCAGGGATAGAGGAGGTCGCCTCTAGATGCTGGAAAGGCCATTTCTATAAGCTCCTGGCTGAAGATCTTTTCTGGAACAGCTGCTGGCTGTAGGCCCACCAAGCCAAGGGTCAGGATAGCCTCTCTGCAGCATGTCTTCCAAGCCAGAGCAGAAGGAGACCCACCAGGCCAACGGGGCTGTGCTGCCCATTGTGCCCGTGGAGTGTCTCACCAGTCCGGACCGGGGGCAGCTGGTGGAGCCCTCCGATTTCCTGGGACCTGATGGTGACAGCGTAGAAGTGGTGGTGTTGGAGTCCCGTGCCAATGCTAAAGGGGTGCGAGAAGAAGATGCCCTGCTGGAAAATGGCAGCCAGAGCAATGAAAGTGATGACACCAGCACGGACCGAGGTCCTGAGCCAGCTTCGCCCCTCAAGGAGACCGCCTTTTCCATCGGGCTTCAAGTCCTCTTTCCATTCCTCCTGGCAGGCTTTGGGACAGTTGCTGCTGGAATGGTGCTGGACATCGTGCAGGTAGGATTGATACTTCCCTGGCAGGACACTGGGCTCTGAATCCTGTCTCTGTAGACCATGGCTTGATCCTAAGCTAGGAGAGACTTGAATGCCAAGGCTAGTTCAACAGATAGCAACTGTGAAGGGAGGAGATGAGTTACCTTGCATGCTGGTTGGGGTAGGGAGAGATGGAGGGGGAGCTCGGTGATGTCTGGAGTGAAGGGAGGAGAGGCCATGGGCACCCCTGTGCCACAGCTGCCCTGCTCCAGCTCAGAGGAGGAGGGTGCAGCTGGCACATGTGGAGCCAAAACATCTGCCCGGGAACTGAGACAGCTCTGTCCATCACGGATTCAAATAAAGCACTTCCCTGCTGGTGGCTGTAGACATCCCAGTCCCAGTTGCTGGTTCCTCACGTCCTATGTCCCTTTTCCATCTGCAATGTATGCGGCGCTGTTGCAGCACGCCGGGCTCGTGCCAGCCAGGTTAATGATTCGCCTGCCACAGTGTGTGCAGGACACTTGTGTGGTGGCTCTCTCCAAAGGTCAAAGGCTGCCTGAGTGGCCCCTACACTGCCTTCTCTTGTTCTTGAAGTGGCCAGGGGCAACTGGGCTGACAGAGTGGTTCCTCCTGAGAGGTGTGTGGAGGCGATCCTTAGGAAAGGCCAGTCAGGGAGCTGGCTGTTACCTCTGGATGAAAACTGATGTGTTACCAGACCTGATCTCTCATTAGGTCTCTCATGGCATGTGACACTGGGAACCTGGTAGTCGTGCAGCTTGTTTAGGTTTTTATGTGGGAAATGCGACTATGTGGCTCCCGCGCCAGTCTCTCTAGCATGTGTTTTCTAAGCATGTGTGTCTCTGGCTTCAGATCAACTGCTTAACCTCTTCTCCTTTGCTCTGAGAGACAGGCAGTGCAGAGTTGCCTTGATACCCAGCCCAGAACGGTGACTGAGGCACAAAACTCAATCATCTGTGCCATGTAGGTTTATGAAACTATTTGGATGGAGGAGGCAGCCATTTTGGAGCTGTGGTCAACCAAAAATGCTCTGCTTGAAGTTCCTCTGTTTGCTTAAGTGGGGTAAACAAGCCCTCGCAGTGTTGGCATAGAAAGACTCCCATGTCAGTCACTTGTCTGTATTGCTGGCCGTTACAATCATCTCCACCCGAGCTGTGTGCCAGCAGGGTAAGTCAGGCGTTTTTTGTATTTGTGGGTGGTCAAGCAGACACTTTTCTTGCCCCTAATGGCTATTTCCCTGCATGCCTTTGCACGCTGGTCATCCTTACAGTTCTGGTCATCCTTACGGTTCCTCTTGAAGCAGCCTGTTAAGAGAGTTGTGAAATGATTCAAAACAGGAAAGGCTGGCCATGCTAAATTATTCCAGAAGAGATTTACCGGAATCATTTTCTTAAGAAGAAAGACATTTCAAGCGTGTTTCCCTTTGCAAGTTCCCTGTAAATTCATGTGTGGCTCTTCTGGCAATTTCCTGGGGCCAGTGATTTGAACCCAGCCTAAAGCTTTTCCTGGAGAAGGAACAGCTCTGGCCAGGGAGGAGCGGGGCAGGGGTGCAGTATTGTGGCATAGTGCTATGTTCTCCTGCCTTTTTTTTTGTGGCCATTAGAAATAAAGTTTCATAATTCCTCTGTCCCACAACAGCTCAGCGTGTGGCTATGCAGCTTGTCCTGCCAACTCCTCTAACTCCCTTGGGATTAAGTGAGGCATCTAAATGCCATAGGGTGGAAAAGGGGGATGGGAAGCGTGTGATCTTGGCTTGCTTGCCTGCAGAGTCTGGGGAGCTGATCTCCATAACTGGTTTCCCAGCGACTCAAAGCCTTGGATGAAAAGAGGGAAGCATGTGAAGTGGGTAGCTGGTGCACTGGGGCAGACTGGAGTCCCGTTGCTTTGGATGCAGCCATGGTTTGCGATGGATGGAGGGCTCGATACACTCCATTTCCTCTGTTTTGGATAAATGGACTAATCAGCCAGCTGTAATTGGTCTCCCCACTGTGAAAACAAGCAGCCCTGGCCTCTGGCCATGCTGTCCCATTAATGTATCCCTGTGAATTTGCCTCTCAGGAGGAGAATTTGCCTCTTCTCCCTTTGGGATTGGAGAGACCTCTGGGCCAGGTGACATGTGAGCATACCAGCTGTTTTTCTGTGTACAGTAGAGGCCTAATGGCACAGTCCCCTCTCCCAGCAGGGTCTGATTGTTGTCTTCCAGACTTGTCTGCTCCCTGGAGATTCTTTGGAATGGGATGGACAGTATTTCGTATAGAGGAGGGATTCATTTCTCCTGTTTGACCACCTCTGGTGTTAGCATCTCTCTGGGGTGGGTCTTAGCTGGGGCCGGCGGGGAGTGCCAGCCCTGGAGCTGTAGCTCTTCTGTTAAGGCAGCTTGTTCCTTGGATTTTTGGAGGGAGGGTGCTGGGAGAAGTGTGATGTGCGAAGCAGCCACACCAAGGCAGTCGTAGCTCCAACCTGCAGCACATCCCTCCCCTCTGAGCTGTCATGAATCACCATCCGCTATAATCTGAGCGAAACCACGCTGTTACTCATAACTCTTGCAAGCCTTAACTTTTCACGCAGCGACTGAAAATGACAGCAGCTGAGATGCAGCTGTTACCCTGGAAATATCTGTTATCTGCAGGTGCGAAGCTTCTGAAAGGCATCAAGTCTGGAAGAAACTGCTAAACACCACCTGGGGCTTGATGTTTCTTCCAGAACCTCTGGCAGGCTGGGGTCCCATCTCGCCCCTCCAGTGCTGCACAGGAGAGACCAGGGTCTGGTGGCTCTGGTAACCGGGTAGAACTGTGTTCAAGGGGACCACAGGCTTAGTAGAAAATTAAGCTGAAATAAGTTAAACCTATATTGCTTATAGTCTCTCTGCTCCCCCACCCCAGAGAGCAGGGAGGAGGTGCTGGAGATGAAGTGTCTCTCCCTGCAATTCTCTTCCACAGCTCTGCTGAAAGCCAGTCAGGACCCTGCGTGCTCCCCAGTGCAGGGTGTTCCCCTTTGCATGGAGCAGACTCAGAGGATCTCATGTGCTACGTTAGCCTCTCGCCTCACCCCTGAAAACAGCTCATTTCTGTGCTTTTCAGAGGGGCTCTTATAGCGGGGAAAGGGTTTTGAGCAGATTGATGTCCTGAACTTAAATTCGTATTTCCTCTTCTCTTTCCCTTTTCTGTCTTCCCCAAACAGTCTGGCTCTGGTTCTCCCCTCGGAGCCACATCGTGGGCACAGGTCTCTGCAGGAGCCAGGGAGGCCTTCAAGACATACTAAATGCCCATAGACCAGTGTTGTATAACATCTTATATTAAGAAAGTTGGCAGGAGCCCATGGGTCCTGCTCTTTGCAGTGAGCAAGCTGCTGATGTCTGCAGAAATCTTATTTTCCTTCCCCAAAAATAATTTTTATTCTTTTCTCCAGGAACACCCCTGTCTTGCTCAGGGAGCTGCTTTAGCAGGCTCCAGTTACAGCAGCTTCTGGCACCAGCTTGCAGTGCAGCCTCCTTTAAAGGTTAATTTACAAAGCCGGGGTTGGTACAAGGTGAGGGAGGGCTGTGAACTCGTGCTAGCTATTGCCTGGTCTTGCCTCTCTGATCTGTGGAGGCAGAAAGAGCCAGGAAACTTTTGCAGAGCACTTCCAGCCTGCGGTCTGACTAATGACGATGCTCCTTTTCGCTAAGTGATTCTGGTGACACCCAGCTCATCCTGCTGGGAAGCGGGAACGTGTTGCTTGTAGATGGAATTCTAAGTACTGCCGAGAGAAGTCGCAGCAAAGGATTCACCGGTACAAGCAGCAGCAAAATATAACCATAATGCCTGCCTAAAAATAGACCAAGGAGAGCCAAGCTTGCCTGTTCCTAGATGTGACCTTAAAGGAAGCACGGCCTGATGTGCCACTGTGTCAGATGAAGTATTTCAGACTGATTCTCCCTCCTGCCTCTCCTGTCCTGCTCAGCAGTGAGCACTGAACTCAAATGTCCCCTGTTCAGAGAGTCGTGCAGAGTCATACCCATTCAGAATGCCTCTGACTGCAGGAGAAAGGTCTCCCAAGTCAGGAGCTCAGGTTAGCTGGGTGGTTGGAGCAGTGGCTGCAGGGACCATGGTGTTTTCCTTAGGTGCTTCCCATCACAGCGGCTGGGAGAGGACTGCTCATTGCATAAGTAGAGTCTGGAAACCAGGTATCCTCAGGAGCCTCGGCCTCGAGCAGGGAGAGGGTTGTGGCTGTGCCTGAAATAGCTGAGCAGCTTTCATCTGTGCACCTGGGAGCTGGAGAGCATGGCTAGTTTGTCTTACCAAGCTGTCAGAAACATTAAGGAGATTTTTATTGACTGGAAAACAGTTTTTTCCCTTTGAGGAAAAGCGGTCCCAGTTCATCCATCTCAAGCACTTACCTGCCTCCTGTGATCACAGTTTTCTCTCAAATGGTTTTTCAAGTGAGTGCAGCTTGAATGTGGTATTGCAAAGGATCTGGCAGGAAGCTGGAATTTGTTGGCTCGGTGATGAAGGCAAGCAGCACAAAGGATGGAAAACCAAACAAAAATAACTGAAGTCCTTCCCCACAGGAAGGTGTTAGTCATACAGGTAGAGTGACTTGTATTTACTGTAAATTGTTGGCTGATAGTTTTCCTTGTCCTGGAAAGAAATAAATGTCCTGTTGGCTAGTTAACCTGACGGTCTGGCACTGCCAAGGAGAGCGCTGCGAGAGATGGAGCCCGTTGCAGGTAACGTTTGCAGGAAGAAAGCTGAGAGAGCCGTGACTGTTGACATGTTCAGTGCAGCAGCCAGCTGTTGAGAGTGCAATTCCAGCTGTGCTCGGTGTCCTTTAAGGACTGTGGCAGTCAGGCAATGTGGGAAGCAGGAGTTATTTTGGACACAGGGCCTTCTTCCAAAACGTTCACAAAAATAAGGAATCGGGCAGTGAGGTTTATGTAGCTTGCGGGTTTTTTTTAAATGCAGTTGTGAGTTTTTTTGGGGGTGGTTTTGTGTTTTCATGGAAGCTAGCTGCTCTCCTATAAGTCTGCTTACCCTGCAATTACTCTTCCTTTTTTCCTAAATAACCATGACTGCCTCTTCTGCCTCACACCCAAGGAAGCTGACTTGACTGTAGAGCCAGAGTAGTTCGGAAATCCCTGAGTAATGTAGGTGCCAGGTGAGGGCAGGCACGCATCTCCTCGCTGAGGTCAGGGGGGAACAGAGCCACTGTGGGCTGCTTTTTGAAGGTGGCAGGATCAGGGAGCAGCAAGGTCTTGTTCCAAAATGTATTTGTAAGACATACATGTAGAGAATGGCTCTCAGCTGAGACTGATCAACTTCAGTACTTGATTCTGCCAAAAAAGTGCAAGTTTTGGGCAAAGTTTCTTCATCTTTCCCTATTTTGGCCTCTGTGTGCATAAACATTTTGTCAGTGGTTAATCTTTGGGGGATTTTTAACTGACAGTTGCAGACTGAGATCTCGTTTTTAAGCTCAGCAGGAACATGTGGTCACTGCTACACGAACGTCAAAACCAGTAAAATTGCTACAAAATTCAAAGCGTGGCACCAGAAGGGGAACTGGGTTGTCTGCTCAGGGCCACACACGGGCAGTGCCAGGTTGCAAAGGCGGATGAGTAAGTGACAGTCAGTCCAAAGCCATGATTATTTTTTAACAATCTGCCTTTGTTTTAATCTTGCAGCACTGGGATGTCTTCAAATACGTGACTGAGGTATTTATCTTAGTACCTGCATTACTGGGCCTGAAGGGGAACCTGGAGATGACTCTGGCGTCTCGCCTGTCGACAGCTGTGAGTATCCAGGGAGTGGAAGGAGGGAGTGGGATACCTCGTTTGGGAAGGGATGGGAAGACATATGTGTGTGTGGTAGCTGGGCAGACAAAAACCTTCCAGTTAGTGACCACAGAAACCAGAGCCTGGAGTTTAGTGTGCTGGGAGGGTGTGTTCATCCTACTGGACTGATCAGATTTGAAGGCTTAATAGTCCTTAAGCTTTGCTGACAGTTCACTTCCTTGTCCTGGCTGCTCGTGGGCCTGAGGGCACGGTGTGTGAGCTGGCTTTGGCAGTTTTATGTCTGGAGTGCTTGGATCCAGTTTTCTTCATGAGGAAGCTGAGTGCTGGCATGTCATCAAAGCAGGCTAAAACAAGATAGGTTCAGGAGGTCTAGGTGATGAGAGAACCCGGAGAGAATTGTATAGCAAAGGCAAAAATGGAGGGGAGCTTGCAGTGAGAACAAGCAGGGGGATTGACAGCCTCTTGAAGTTGATGGAGAGGGATGGCTGGGCATTTCTTTTGCTGGAATTCAGCATAATTCCCGTGAAACAGTGAGCTCCCTGTGAGAATGGGGGCAGGCTCTGTTAGCTCCTCAGAATACTGTGTTAGGCCAACTGTAAATGAATTGCTTTGTGTTTAAATGTTTCTGTAACACAGCAGTCTGTCTCTGTAGCTGAGCGGTGCTGGAGAGAGACTGACATCCTCTCCTAGCAGGGACAATAATACTCCTTCCTTCTGCAAAGCATCTTCTGCTTGAGCATGTCAGCAAGTGACTGCCTGATGTTTCTGTTTCCCATGACGGGAGTACATATAGTTTTGAATCTTACATCTGCAAGGTGTTAGCTGCCTGCTGCCAAGTTTTTTAACACTACTGTCTATGCTGTGAATTGCTGGAAGAGAGAACCCTTGCTGCAAGCAGCCTGGTCTTGGCCTTAACAGTGCAAAGGAGCTGATGCACCTTGGCCCAAGGGAGCTGGTCAGGAGGTGCTCACTGAGATGTAGGGATGGAGGACTGCCTGCCTGGGTAGTAGCAGCAAGCTTGGCTAGCAGAGAACTGCTTCTCAGCATGCTGCCTTCCTCTCAGCCTTCCCCTTACTGGTTGCTGCAGGAGACTGTTGAAAAGGTCTCTTACATCTGCTCTCCTGGGTCTTTTTCTCCCATCTTGAGCAATGGGATGATGCCAGCTGTGACTCTGCTCCTCAGTAGCTTCTTTTTGGCCTCTGAGGCCCAAGGTTTCTGGTGCATTCCTGGAGAGCAGCAAAGCCAACGTTTGGAGCTGCTCAGCCTTTGTCACCGGCAGCTTCTCTTGTCCCTCATGCGGTGGATCCCTGTGTGTACCCCAAGGGATGCTGCTCTCATCCGCTGAACCAGTGGCACATGAGCATCGTGTTCTGTAGAGTCTGAGGTTGTCCCTGCAGTCCCTGGGGAGCAGGAAGGCAAACAGCATTTCCCTGGACTAGCGCTTGGCTCGGCCTCTGCACCCCAGCCCCTGCCTGCTGCTTTCTGCTGACTGTGGGGGCCACCTCCTCCTTGGATTCAGCCCTTGCTCTTCATTCTCTGAAGGAGTGGGGTGCTGAGCTGCCTGGGGGGTGGCTGTTCCAGCATTACCTGGCAGTAGCTGGGCTGTGGCTGCTTCCCCTTGGTGCTGGTCTCCTCTCTCCAGGCACTTCTGGGGAGGACAAAGCTGCTGGGAGGCTTTGTGCTGCCCCTGGCCCAGCTGTGCACGGGTGACAGGGCTTGCAGGGGCAGGCTGAGCACTGCAGCTTGTGTTGCAGGCTGAGCTTTGTTTGCTCCTTCATTCTGGGAAACAAATCCCTTTGTTTTATTCGCTCTCTATTGTTTGGATCATGTCAGGGTCCTTGCTGTCCCAGACACAGGCCGTTCTCCCTCTTGGCCTTGGCCAGCTTGCACTTTCTGAGCTTTGGCTTATCAGGGTGAGTGCTTGGCTCTCCTGGGACAAAGGCAATATGGCACTTCTCCATCCTCTTCCCTTATGGGGCTGGCACAGAGCAACTCTGGGGCAGTCTTGGCAGAGAAACAAGACTGCAGAAAGTCACAGGAATGCAAAACTTTGCCCTGTCTGCTCTGGTGGCTGCAGCAGCGTCGTGAGGAAACTGGTGCAGAGAGCACCTGCCCAGCTCGCCGGCCCCTCTGTGCCGAGCAGCACTGGTCCCCTGGTGCCTCCTCCTGCCCCTGTGCTGATGACTGTGGGGTGACATTAGCCTCGTGAGCCAACACGCAGGCTTCATCCTCTGCTTTCCTTTGCCCTGGCAGGAAAGAAGCCTGTGCTGCCTCCCCACGAATCTCCTAGCCTTGCATTCTACCTCCTTGTATCTGTGCATGGTGGGATAAGATGATCTTTTGGGTTTTCCTTTTTCTTTACCTTGCCCTGTTCTTCCTTCAGCGTGGGGGACCCACAGGGAGGCATGCGGAGGGCCTTCACAGTGTGGGTCTCGTGCCCTCTCCGCAGGAAAGCATCCTGGAGTGGTTTCTCAGACTGTGGGTTTCTAATTAATACTGCATTAAGACAACTCAGAAATTCCTTTCACGATTAAGAAGCAAAACTCTCCCATTAGGTAAAGGATTAAAACCCTGTTGCCAGTGACTACAGCTAGGTTATGTTAATCCCAACCTAACTGCCATGTGGCTGGAATTCTAAGGTCAGACTTCATATGGAGCTGAAATTCCTGTGCTGGATGTGCTCAGTGCTACTCCAGTCAACTTTTTGTTGGTTTTCCCCCATTCCTTCCTCTCCACTAAACTGAACAGAATAATTCACTCCAGAGATGGGCATAGCTCAGTGCTGGTTGAAAAGAGCTGGAGGTTCGCTCAAGCTCATGCAGTAAGGAGAGTGGAAGGATTAGTTGATCACTGACTTCTTGTTTTTCTGGAGACCAGCAAGGAAACCTGAGAGGTTAGAAGAAATTGCTGCTGTATTGTTGTGCAGAAGTTGGAGTTTGGCACTGTCAGCCAGTAACTCCAACATGCATTTACCGCTTCGGGTTGTTTGAGCCCCTCCCTTGTTGCCTCTTCATGTTCATCAGCTTCTAATAATACAAAATTGGGTATAAGGTTATACACTCTGCTTTCTTCCAACTTCCCATAAAGAGGCAGAAGGTTCTGGGGAAGAGCAATAACCAGCAACCTGCAGTGATCCTGCTGGGTTATTTTGGATTGTACGCCAGGGAATTCAAGCAACTTTCCATCTCTTCTGGTTAGTCTGATTAGCATCTCCCACAGTTGTAGTGGTGCCAGATGACCCATGTGCCATGCCTGCTTCCCGCTACTCACTATTTCTCCACGTGGCATTAGCCTTGTTTACTCAGCTTTTAACTGAAACAGTAGTTCTTGCTGCCAGCTTCCTCTGCCCACGTGATGCTACTTTGGCCTTGGTCTGTATCGGAGCTGGGGCACACAGCTGACCTGAGGGTCAGTGCACCCCTATTTCCCTCCTGGCTGGCTGACCTGAGGGGCAGCATGACCCAGCTGGGCCTGAGCCAGGCCTGGCTTAATCACCGGCAGAGTGAATTCAATGAGTAAATAAGCAGCAATGCATGACTCTGCACAGGGACAAAGTATATCTTGTTGCTTTTGCAAGATTTTCATCAGATGTTCTATTGACGACAACTCCCCTTTACACTCCCTTCAAAACCCGCTCTGTAGTGCGTCTGGCTCCACTCCTACCGCGTGGGAGAGCGTCAGCCCATTCCTGCAGCTGGGAAGGAAAAGGTGCTGCAGCTGAAACTGGTGTCCTGGAGTACAAGACCAGAGTAACTGTTGGAAGTGGTGCTGTAGTTACCCAGGGTGTATGGCCCGAGTGACATTCCCAGGCTGGGGTGTTACTGCAGAGCTGTGCCCTGACTGTGCACACGTACGTTCACACACAGACACACACCCCTTTTCTACTGAGTTGCTCTCCCCGTAAGAGCAAAGGATTTGAGGTCATTATTCTCTCCTGCTCCTGGCATAAACTTGCATAGCTGGAAGGCAGGAATTTGACTGTTAGCAAGTGCAAAATGCTGTCAGTCTTCAATGATGTTGCAATGTCCTCTTGCAGGCTAATATTGGCCAAATGGATACACCCAAAGAGCTCTGGAGAATGATAACGGGGAACATGGCTCTGATACAGGTAAGAAAAAGTGAAAGGAGGAGAATGTGGAAATACTGGTAGTTGGTGCAAGCCCAACTATGGCAAGTATCAGAAGGTTTAAACATCTGTTTTTTGCTATCAACTGTCAATACTGCATGTCTAACGGGGAGGCAAATGGCACCTTTTTGTCCCACGGTCATCTTATCATAATAGTTTGTCCTGTAGTTTAGACTTGGCGTTTCCCTGCTGGATGCTAATCCACCTGCAGTGGTACCCTGGGTGGTGTTTCCCTCTTCCCTCACCCCAGGACTATTTTGCTGTTTAGTCCTCTTGGTGACTGTCTAGGTTTTTATTTTCAGGTTCAAGCGACTGTGGTTGGCTTCCTGGCCTCGATCGCAGCCGTGGTATTCGGGTGGATCCCAGATGGGCACTTCAGCATTGACCATGCTGTCCTGCTTTGTGCCAGCAGCGTGGCTACTGCTTTCATTGCTTCCCTTGTTCTGGGTGAGAGACAGACCCTGCACACCCTCCACGCACCTCTTTCTAAAATGCTGGGCTCCCTTTGGCCTCATCCTGTTCTCTTGCTCTTTTTGGCTGTAGGCATGATTATGATTGGGGTCATCATTGGATCCAGGAAGATGGGGATCAACCCTGATAACGTTGCCACACCCATTGCTGCCAGCCTAGGGGATCTCATCACCCTGGCTCTGCTTTCAGGAATCAGCTGGGGCTTGTACAAAGAGCTGGGTGAGGAGCAACAGGAGACCTCTGTCTCTCCCTGGTCCTTCCGTGTGCTGCTGCATCTCCCTCTCATTTCACCCTCTTCCTTTACCCTTTCTGTTCTCGGGGTGTATAGGATGCCTGGCCTGGAAGCTACCTCAGTTAGTGAGACCTAGTCAGAACTGATAAGGGAAGGAAACGGACGTTCTTACTGCCTTGTAGCTGCAGACAGTCTTGGCAGTGATCTGCATACTTCCTTCTCACCAGGTAAAGTGGTAAGGGAGAGGTTGTCCCTTTCCAAGTGCCAGGGGCTTGACTGTGGCTAAAGCAGTGGGAGAAGGCGGCTTTGGATTTCATCTTTTGCGCAGTCAGCACCAGCTGGGGATCCTCAGTGCAGAGCTGCAGCTGTAGACTCTAGACTTCCTCCTCCTCCTTCCCCTCCACCTTCCTTCCCTGGCAGCTGGGATGCAGGGGGTGCAGCTCAGCCAGGTTCAGCCAAAGGTGAAGCAACACTGGGAGTTCTTGCCCAGGAGTGGGAATTGGGAATAAGCAGTTGAAACTGAAGAGATCTCACTCGGATCTGTTGATAAAGCCCCTGTGAGTACACCAGCAGAAGGAAATACCACGTCCTGCAGAGCTGAGGCTGGTCTGGTCTAAGTTTCCTGCCCTTACTGGAGTTTGTGACTCCAGGGGTGACAGCAGTCTGTAGGCAGGCTTGATGAGCTCAGCTGAAGTAGCACCCCGCCCCACTGCAGCCGGATGTGGCCTTGATGTGTTGCCTCTGCTTATTTTCCCCTTCAGAGAGCAAAGCCTATGTGAATCCTTTGGTATGCGCCTTCTTCATAGCTCTGCTGCCCATCTGGATCATCATTGCCAAGAAGAATGCAGCGACTCGGGAGGTGCTGTACTCTGGCTGGGAGCCAGTCATTATCGCAATGGCTATTAGCAGGTAGGATGGCATGGAGGAGTTCCTCTCCCCCGAACACAGACAGGCAATGCACCCTTTCCACTGGTCCTTACAACCTCTTAACCCTTGGTAGATTCTGGAACAAGTGGGAACCAAACCTCTTCTGCTTCAACAGTCCAAACTGCCAGGAAACTGGAGGTCATTTTGTGTTTTCTAGACAAAAACAGGGGGTTCTAGGTCCCGAGGCACAGGAGGGATTAAGCAGCTGGCTGCTGGAATCCAGGGCTTTAGCAATGTCCCCGCTGCTGCACAGGGAGACTCTGGCATGGCCACAGAGTAAACACAGATCCTGTTGAGCCATCTGTCAAATGTGATAACTATTACCAAGTATTGAGATTTAAAATCATGAAATCATGTGCAACAACTGCAACCATAGGTGCATGTTAATATGTGTATATATCACCCTCGGGTGCACACACTGCAGCAGGAAGAACCCTCGGTGCTTTGTGTGAGTATTTCCTAACAAGCTTTCAGTGCTGACCTCTTCAATCTTCCCTCTGCAGCGTCGGGGGTTTAATTTTGGACAGAACGGTCTCGGATCCAAACTTTGCTGGGATGGCTGTCTTCACACCAGTTATTAATGGTGAGTTCCTTTCCATGCCGGTATTGCAGCTCTTGGAGTCTCCTGGCAAACAGTGGAATTGTCCCACGTGCCTTATTTCAGGCAGATTGAGGAGACTGACTCTATTTTGATGGCCAGTGAGACATGGTGGTTTGACTCAAGCTTTACAGCAGAGCAGCTCCCCCTGGTGCCAGCCTTTCACCAGAGGGTGACTAGTCTGGGAGGCTACTGCCTAAAAGACATGTTTTTCGGGGGCCCAACAAAAACTGTCTTCATTTCCTGACTCCTCCTGGCTGGTGGAAGAACCCCATCTTCCAAGAAATGTGCCGTGTGGCACCTGGCAACATAAAGATTTGGATTTACAACTCATGTGTCAGGAAATCTAATTGGTTCTGATACAAAGTTTTGACCTCCTTTCTGCCTAATGAACTTTTTTTTTTATTACTTTTTGCAATAAATGGAGTTAATTCTGATCCAGTGGATCTTGTGCTAGTGGGTTCCACAATTTCATTAAGCCTCATGCAAAAAAATAATACTTTTAAACTTCCTGTGTCTGTTTTGGTGGCTGACTTGTCATTTTTTTTTTTGTTTCATGTATTTCATCCAATCAAAGCTGCAGTAATAGAATTGCATCTATTTTACTAAGGGGCCTAAGGAAACCATAGAACAGTGTGCTTTGTCTCCGCTTTTTACATCCTGCAAAAGTAGAGTTCAGGTCAAAAATAGACTGTCCTACATTATTCCAGCACCTGGCAATTCCAGATCTGCTGGCTGTTGAAAATAGCTCTCTGATGTGTTTGAGACCTCATCTTACTGCTCTCTCCTCATCTGCAGGTGTGGGTGGCAACCTGGTGGCAGTGCAGGCTAGTCGCATCTCTACTTACCTGCACATGAGTGGGATGCCTGGAGAGAGCTCCGAAACAGCCCCTCGCAAGTGCCCCAGCCCTTGCAGCACTTTCTTCAGCTCAGGTATCCAAGTCAGGTCTTGAACTATATTGACTTCTGCCAGCAGCAGTTGCTGCAGTTGGCTGGCTGAACTTGTCTGTGGCAGGCCCTGGAGCCCTGTCACAGGAGATGCTGGCTGAAGTCTGCTGGGAGGCAGCAGTCAGCTCATGGATGTGGCTGGTCCTCTGGCCTGCCCTGCCCTCTAGAGACAGTCAGACCTTTAGCAAAGCTGTTGTGCGAGAGGACGTAGCTCTGCTGGAGGAGGAAAGCATGGTGCAGAACTCCCATGCCCTGACTGTCAAATACTGTAAATCCTCCACCCTCTAAATCTTTTCCAGATGTGTCCAGGATACTGAAACCTGCCTTGAAGCTGCTCGAGTGTTGCAGCTCTGCTGGGCTTGTAGAGCTGCAGATACAGAAAGCTTCTCACTTACAAAGGCTTCCTAGCAGCTCTGTTATTTGTGGCAGAGCACAGCCCAAACTTGCATTCCAGCACAGAGTGCAGGCAGAGGTTTTTACTGTCCAAACTTCCTAGAGAGGCTTGATAGTCTACAGCCTGAGTCCTGGCCTTCTGGGCTAAGGCTGTCCCTGAAGAGCAAGGAGGGGTGAGAGGTCTCCAGTGGTGGTGGTCTGTCAGAAAACTGATCACCAGGCAAGGTACAGACAGAGGTCCGAGGAATTCAGTGTTCACAGTAAATTCTTGACAGCACTGTAAGAGGTGGGACATGAGTCCTTTTGGCAGCTGAGGTCTGAGAACAGATTTTGCTCTGGGGACAGAACTAAGCTCTCCTACTGAGCTTGGTGCAAGGAGCCTCTGGGTGTCCTGACAGTTGGGTCAGTCCTTCCAGCCTAAATCTGCAGTGTGAGAGTCCAGTGTTCTGGCCTCTGCTTCTGATTTGACCACAGTTGTGCTGCCTTGTCCCCTGGAGCCCAGGGAGGCTGCAGAGCTGCTGTGTGTTCAAGCCTATCATTAGCCTGAACTCCATCTTTCTTTCCTTTCAGATGTGAATTCCCGCTCTGCTCGTGTGCTCTTTCTTCTGGTGGTGCCTGGACACTTGGTTTTCCTTTACACCATCAGCTCCATGCAAGGTGGACACACCACACTCACCCTGATTTTCATAGTCTTCTACATGACGGCCGCGCTTCTCCAGGTAAGCTGGAGCCCCTCCAGGGCTGTGACCCTCGGGCTGGGATACGGGGACGCTGCCATGTCCTCTGCACCGGGGGCCTGTTCAGCCAGTTGACTTGTAGTTACGTTGCTGAAGGCACAGTGATATACCCTATCCCTAGGTAAGAGATTTACATGCTGGGGGGAGGTATGCCAAGTAGACTGTACTTGTCAAATAAGCTGGTATCAAATTGAATAAATCCTTCTTTGTTGATACCTGTACACACAATTTTTCCTTCCTACCATTCTTGGCAAGTTTTGAATCTGTCTTTTGTCTCTTTTAAGTCCTGATAGCAGAAATGTTTACCTTGTGCGTGTTAATCTATCCTATAAGGTACTTTAGCAGTTTTAAAACTCCTGGTGAAAAAAACAGGATGTGAAATTTGCAGGGTTCCTGTGCCTTGTGTGGCTTGTCCTGCCCTTTCCCTGCCCCCCTGCAGGGTAGAGACCCGCCAGCTCTGCGGCGCGGGGCTGCCGCTCTCCTCGTCGGAGCCGCGTGAGCCCGGGGCGATGGCTGCTCGGAGGGTCGTGCACAGCCCAGGGTATTCATGCTGCAGAAATCCAGCAGCCGCTTGCAGGAGTCTGGCTGCCTGAGTTGGAGGGCGGAGAGAGACACTCCGGTTAGGGAGTTTCCTACTGAGCCCAGCTACGCTCCCCCCCTGCTCCCCCGCCCCGCCCGTGGAGGCTGTGCCTGGTTTCAGTGTCCCCTAAAAATCAACAACCGAAGCCAGCGTGAGGAAGTGAGTCAGAGCGTCCATCGGCGGCAAGAGCGGAGCGCTGTCATCCAGGAGGCTAAATTTAGGCCGTGAGCTGCTGCGGGGTGCTTGGGCCCTTGGAGGGGCTTCCGCTCGCAGCCGCTCCCGGGGCCCCGGCCGTGAGCAGCAGAGGGGCTGCCGTGGGCCGACGGCTGCGGTCCTGAGCTCTGCTGTGGCCCGAGCGAGACCCTCCCAGCCCCACAGACACCAGAGGCATTAGCAACAGGGCTGCGGCCACTTCAAATCCTTGTCCCAGACCTCGGGCTTGAGAGGATCCAATGCAGATTTCTTCTGTCTGTAGATACTGATACGAGCCTCTGACTGCAGCGAAGCAGATGGGGGAGAGCATCACGCTCTGGTGGTTTCAGCTCCTGGGCTGTTGCTCTTTTATTTCTGGAAGCCAGGCGTTGCCGTCCCTGCCCAAGCATCCTGTGTGCTTCCGGGTCCCCTCTTTGCCCCATATCTCTTCAAGATTATTCTGGTTAGATCTGAAAAATGAGGTGCAGAATTCAGACTTTTTGGTGTTTGGGTGCCAGTGTTCTCCCTTCTAAGCCTGCATTTGATGGTGACGTGTGAAGCTAAAGAAGGATAGGGCAGAGGCTGTTAAGGACACGGACAATTTGGTTGCCCAAGGGCCCACTGAAACTCGCCAGGTTCTTCTCTGTGCTGTACTTGTTGCTTTGGAGGATGCAGCCCGCAACAAACTCCTGGAGCGTGGCGCTCAGCACGGTGCTTCCGACCTCCCGGCGCCTCCGCTCCTCGGGATGAGGCTGTGTGTCTCCGAGCCTGGCCTCCCCGGCTGAGTTGCCGCAGCTGGTGCTCCGTGAAGACAGGGGATTACAGGTCAGGATTTGTGGCTGATGTGGCTCTTTTCTTCCCGCCTCCCAGGTTCTCATTCTTCTGTACATTGCTGACTGGATGGTGCACTGGATGTGGGGCAGGGACCTCGATCCTGACAACTTCTCCATCCCATACTTGACAGCGCTGGGGGACCTGATTGGAACAGGTCTCCTCGCTCTCAGCTTCCACATCCTCTGGCTCATCGGTGACCGGGACTCCGATGTGGGAGACTAGCTCTCCCTGCTTCCCCTCTTCTCACAGCTCTCCTCCTTTCATTTTGTTGTTGTTTCTTTTCCTCCACCCTTGCTTTTCTCGGCTTCCTCCCCCCACCCTGTCTCTCTCGAGACTTCATCTTTGATACTGGATTCTCATTATTTTCAATGGGAATTTTATTTGGTTTATATTTCAAGCCAAGTTTGTACAGAAAATAAATCTAGTTTTAGGAAGGACAAAAAAAAAAAAAGTGTAACGAGACAATCACCAAGTGCAATTTCATAGTAGTTATGTCTGAACCAAGGTTACAGTGAAGATACTGATCAGTCAGATCATGCAGGGAGCCCACCCTGTCCCAGTCACTAGAGGTGAAGGGCTGCTTTTTTCGCTTCATAAGCGTTTTAAATACTGGAGGTAAGGTTCAGATTTATTTTACTGAACGGGCACCTTCTAGCAAAGTACAACCTCATGGATGAGGGCATGGGGTATCTCCTGTCTTCTCTGCCCTGTCGCCCTCCTCCCTTGTGTTCCCTCTCTGAATCCCCCTCCTGTGCCTAGCATCCAAAGCACGCAAGCCTCCGGTAGAGGAGTTAGTGATGGTAGTGAGGAGGGTCCTCTGTGGCGAAACACCCAGTCCTGTGTGCCCGCAGAGACGGTGAGTGATCTCAGGTTTGAGGACAGCAGAGCCCCAAAACCTGGCTGTGAGCAGGCTGGTCTCTGCTGACACATTTAGGCGCCCTTTTGCCAGCCATCCGGCAGCGTGTCACACTGCAGACTGCTTGTTCTGCCCCTCATCCCGAGCTCAGTTCCGCTGCTGCTGCCTGCAGAGGGATACGCTCTGCGCTTGGAAGAGGCCGTGAGCTCTCCCCATCCATCCTTCTCCCCTTCTGCCTGGCGTTGCTCTGTGAGAGGATCCCCTGGAACCGTCGTGGATGCTGTGTGCAAGCCTCTCCTCCGTGCTGGTGTGGGCACAGCGCTATTTTCATGGCAGCCTGCTCAGTTCAGTTGACTTTCCTTTCCTGCACGGGTGGATGGAAAAATAGATCCTATTTTGTGTGTTAAGATTTTCTTTCAGTTGCTGAGTGCTGCTGATGGGCCCATTGCAGCTGGGAAGAAGCCACCTAATACCTCACCCAGTTGAGCCTGAGGGATTTCAAATTTGGGAGCATTATGCTCTCGATGTCTCTTAGAAAAGGACATCCATGTTCAGCCACTGGATTTCTCTGTGTAGGCACCAGCTGGAAAACAGGTCAGCAGACACAGTCAGGTTTCCAAAGCCCTGGTTCCTGGTGCAGCTCTCTGTTCGGGACTGGAACCCACTTACCCTTGAGCAGGAGTATAAATCTGGCATCAGGGTTACAGCTCAGCCTGTAAGTGCTGGCCGAGCACTGCGAGCGCAGAGTTCCCTGCTCCATTTCTTTCCTCTCTGCTTTTTTGTGCTCTTCAGCTCGGTGATGGCCGAGATCCCTTCTCTTCACTGCTAGTGCATGTTGGAAGGACTCTGGTGCAGTCTGTAGTGGCGTAATGACAGAAAACCTGTTCTGGCTGGGTGACTAAGGCTTTTGTAAATGGTCTTCCTGAATGCTGTCGGCGCTCAAATGCATTTTAATTTTCCCATTTGGATATAAATCAATTCAGTAAACTGAGTGCAGTTAGATGTGAGCAGGCCTTAGCGACTTGGAAACTTCACCCAGTTGCACCAAGTTTAAATGATGTGCTCGAGCAGACAGCGCTATTAAACCGGCTCTAATGCACAAATACAAATTGAATGCATAAGCGTGCATGGGGGGGAAGCTCTTAACATCTGTCGAGCATGGGGAAAATACAGTATATCCCACAGAGCCTCATTTCAGTGCTGCACTGTGCAAAGCTTGGGGAGCTGCCTGTATCCTCCCAAACGCTGGGAGAGTGCCCACGGGATTCAGCGTAGTAGCATCTTGCATCCTGATCCCGCAACGACAGCCGAGCTCTCGTTTTAGCCAGCCGTGCAGGCCTGGAGCGCCGCAGTTCTGCTCCTGGTCTGGACACTGCCTGTCATACTTAACCTGCAGCTCCAGAACGTAACCTGAAAGCTGCTGGATTTGTGGTTGGCTGCTTTTCTTCTTGCTTTAAGTGTGTTCCTCACAGCAGAACACGACCATCCTTGGTTGGCCTAATTTCCTCCTTTCGATTAACTTCTGTATTTCTCATACAAACCAATGCTTGTTTTCTCCTTTTGGCTTTCTGTCGCTGCAGCGCTGGGCATCTCTGCCCAGCTGGGAAAGGGTGCAGTGTGGTGCTGGGAATGTTGATCTTCCTCTGAAATAAGGCCAGGTTGGGAGACCTGTTTGTTATTCTGGACAAGGCCAGAAATAGCTGAGCTCTACAAAGCCCTGCCTAAGTGCAGACAGTTTTGCTTTTTAGGTGAGGAGCGATTTGTTAGGAACAGTTCCTGCCTCCCCCCAGAAAAGAGCTGAATGCTTCCCTTAGGGGCCAAGTCAGGACCAGAGTTAGTCTGGGACTGGGCATTGTCCTGGCCTGGGGATCTGCTTGCAGAGCTGGTCCTTACTCTAGAGATGAGCGTGTTGGAAAGGAAGGTCAGGATTAGTGAGTGGGAAACCAGTTCTGGGAAGCCACTGGCGCAGACGTGTCCAAACCAAACGGCCGCCAGGCTCGTGGTGGCCCAAGGACCTCTCTGAAGCTGTGGAAAATTTCTTTCCTGCTTCGGGGGGTGACGCCGAGCTCTGCTGCTGCTGCTGAAGCTGCCTGCGGTGGTCAGGGGCCAAGGCGGGATCCTTGCCCTGTCAGGCTGCTCCCCCTCAGCCCCTCAGAAGAGCAGGTGATAGATTTTTGAGATGGCTTTCCCCTTTCTGGCTTGCTTTCCCCCCTCCCCTTCTTTGCAGCATGTCCTTTGTGGCAGGAGCTCCGAACCTCATACTCCTCACCCTGGTGACGTGACTTCTCACGCATCTTGTCTGGCCAAAGCTCTGTTCAAAAAAAAAAAAAAAAAAAAACAAAACAAAAAACCCTGCTGTACTGAAGTCTCAGCCCAGGGACTTCTGGAGTATTCTCTGCTGCTCACCTGATTTCTCTGCCTAATGTTGAGGAATAGATATGAGACTCCTTCCATTAACACTCAAGCTTTTATGTATATATAAGAGAAACCCTCCTGGTCTTTTAGGTGTCACATCACTATTTAGTTCCCCAAAAAAAGATTGCCCAAAGGAAGAAGCTACTGCTCATGGCCTCCCGTAAAATGAAGAGACCCAGAGGTGGTTGAGCGCCGTCGCGCTGCTGGGCTGGTGGCATCTGTACGTTTATGGAAGGTCTAAGGTGTGTGTGGGGAATAGGTCAGGGGAAAATCCAGTTTAAAACGGAAGAATATTGATGGTCAAAAACTTCTCCCACCAGTTGCACTCAAATGCATGCCTACTCTACAGCTGACTGCAAATGAAAAATACTGGTTTACTCTTTTTATTAAAGGAAAAAGACTGTCTTAATTATTTATAGTTCCTATAACTGAATTGACAGGTGTCAACTTAACTGATAAATTATATTTGGTTAAATAAAGATGACATTTATTTATGTGGACTGCGGTCTCTCCTTCATATGCCTCTACTTGGTTAAAGGTCTCTCTTTCACATTTTGCAGCTTATTTTAGCTTACACCGAAACTCTTTCGATATGCAGTGGAATGAGAGTTAAGAAAAAAAAAAAAAAAAAAATTAAATAACTTGCTGTGCTCGAAGCAAACTGTGATTAGTGAGAAGGGCAGATTTCCAGGCCGTGCCCTGGGCTGGGTCCCGGTAGCTGCGCGGGGGCTCCCGGCAGGAGCTGGGGTTTGTTCCCAGCCACTCGCTGCGGACTGATGCCTGGATGTGGACTTTGGTTAAGGTATGTGGGGGGCACGCGAAACCCTTGAATTTTCAGGAATTAGTGGCAGTGGAAGGACTCCCCACTCCTTACGGCGGGGTTTGCTGTTGTGGGCTGTTTTCCCGCAGGGCTGGGCCCCCTGGCTGCTCCCCCCAACGAGGATCTGGCAGGAGTAGTCCTAACGAAGCCGCAGCGAGGTGGGGGGCTGGGGAGCAGCCCCCGAGGCCAGGCTGGCTTGAACTCCTCTGGCCCCGCGCCGTGCCCCTGGGTCATTTCCCACACGCAGTAAATATTAAATATCGGGGTGCTGAGGCGCAGGGTGGGTCGGTGGAGAGCTTGGTGTCCTGGGGACAGTGAGGGGGGGGGTGTTTGCATTTTTTGGTTGAGGGGGAGAAGCTGCTGAACAGGTATTACAGAGAGAAACACTGTGGAGTCGCTTAACAGCTTGAAGGCATCCCAGCAGTGGCCTGGCATTGCTTTAAAATATGGGGATATATATATATATATCTCTATATATATATATATATCTACCTCTGTGTGTGCACAGGTCGTGGGTTCTTTTTATTTGTCTGCTGGTTGCAAAGGGGCTTGGCCTGGGGGTACAGGGGTGCATGAGACGGGGTCTGGGGCCGTGGGGGTGTGCATGGGGCTGGTCTGGGGTACACGGGGCTGATCCGGGGGGTGCGTGGGGCCCGGTCTGGGGTACGTGTGGCGGGGTTCGGGGGGTGTGTGGGGTCGGTCTGGGGTACGCGGGGCTGGGGAGTGCGAAGCTCTGGGTCTAGGGGTTCACGGCGCCGGTCCCGGGGTGCGTGGGGCCGGGTCTAGGGGCACGCGGGGCCGGTCTGGGGTGCGCGGGGCCGGGTTCGGGGGATGCGTGGGGCCGGTCCGGGGTGCGTGGGGCCGGGTCTGGGGGTGCGGCGTGGGGCCGGTCCCGGGGTGCGTGGGGCCGGTCCCGGGGTGCGTGGGGCCGGGTCTGGGGGTTCGGCGTGGGGCCGGTCCCGGGGTGCGTGGGGCCGGGTCTGGGGGTGCGGCGTGGGGCCGGTCCCGGGGTGCGTGGGGCCGGGTCTGGGGGTGCGGCGTGGGGCCGGTCCCGGGGTGCGCGGGGCCGGGTTCGGGGGATGCGTGGGGCCGGTCCCGGGGTGCGTGGGGCCGGGTCTGGGGGTGCGGCGTGGGGCCGGTCCCGGGGTGCGTGGGGCCGGGTCTGGGGGTGCAGCGTGGGGCCGGTCCCGGGGTGCAGGACTCCACTTCCCGGCAGCCCCCGGGCGCGCAGCCGTTCCGCCGCCACCTGACCGTCACGTGACCGCGGCGGGGCCCGGGCCGGGCCGGGATGGGGCAGCGCGATCGGATGTTCAAGGTGCTGGTGGTGGGGGACGCCACGGTGGGCAAGACCTCGCTGGTGCAGCGCTACGCCAACGACAGCTTCAACCGGCACTACAAATCCACGGTGGGGGGTGAGCGGGGCCGGGGGGGGGGGGCCGGGGGCCGCCGAGCTGCCGGGCGCCGGTTCGCACACCCAGCGCCGGCCGCGCCGTTTTGAATTCCCCTCCCGAAGCGCAGCCGGGGTCCCCGTCCGGCTCCAAACGCCCGGGGGGGGGGGGGCTGCTGCGGTTCTTAGCGCTGAGCGCCCCTTGCTCGTTGGGCTCTGGTGGGAGACTCGCTCCTCTCCTTCCCTGAAGACGTGGAAGCAAGAATTTGTGAAAGGAGCGGTATTTTGCAACTCCTCACACAGCGCTTAGCTGCAGCTCCCGGGTTCAGTGAGCCCCGGTGACAAGCTGGTGACTTCTGTCCCTCTTCACGACAGGCTCGGGGGGGTCCCAGCCCCCTCCCCCGGGAACAGCCGCCCCCGGGAGTTTTATCCTGGAGAGTTTGAGGTTAGAGCCTCAGCTCATCCCAGCAAAACCAACAACAGCGTCCTTGTGGCGTTTATTTAGCAGCACGAAACCACCGCTGAAATATCGGTGCTGCTCTGGAAAGATGATGGGGGAAACAGCAGTTTTGTAACGAGGAGGCTGGGAACAAGGTTAAGCGGGATCGGTTAGTCTTTGTTTAACATTGGTGTAAATGAATAACCTGCAAGGAGCAGGAGGTGCCAAGGCTTTACCCAATAAATCTCCCTGAGGACCCAAAATAGTGGGGGCCGAGTACGGCTGTTTAAATCTTATTCATGAACCAAGAGGGGATGAATTAAAAGCTGAAAACACTGGAGAGCCACATCCCACTGGGGCAGAGCGGGGGCTGTGCCCACCCCGTCGCTCCCAGTAGTAAGAGCTGCAGACTGTTTTCTTTCTCCATTTTTTTTTTTTTTTAAAAAAAAAAACTTTTTTTTTAATTAGTTCCTGGCTTCAATAAGTTCCAGCCCTGTTGAGCATGGCTGGCAGCAGAGCAGGACAGTTTTCCCCCTGCAGTGAAAACCTGATGCATCGTAATCTGAGAAAAACACAGTGTTTCCCCTTTGGACTCTCAGTGCTGGTTCCAGCTGGGGTGTGGGTGGTGGGACACGGGGGGGTGTGAAGGACAAGCAGAGCTCCACAGTCCAGGCAGTGCAGAGCAAAACCAGGCAAGAGCAGCACACCCAGCACTTTACCGGTGGTTGGAGTTGGGCAAGGGAAGCTTTCCTTAAAGCTTTCCAAGCACTAAGGTTTCTGTTTGCCTGTGGTTGTTCAGGGTTATGTGCTGGAGGAATTCTTACTCCTGCGTATTTTAATTTCTGCTTCCTTAGCGCTTGGTTAGTGTCCCTAGTGCCGGGGTTACAACCGCAGAGCTCTGGAATGGGTGTGAGAGCTCCCTGCTGCACACAGGGCGCTGTGCTTGGGATGGTGACAGACCCTGGCAGTCCCGGATCCCAAAAAGCCCCGTGCTTCGGGGGGAGTGGAGTCCAGCCAGCGCTGTGTTTGCTGGAAAAATTCCACCTTGCCCTGCTCCTTCCCAAAGAATTGCAGAGCAGCAGCTCTGCTGCCGTTTGGTAGCAAACCTGCCAGGCTGGGACTCTGCGAGACGGGGAGGGACGCCGCTCCAGCCGCTGTGTTAATTCTCTCTTAATCTGCAGTTCAGGAAGGGACAAGCCCAGCGCAGCATCCTGGGGAGGGATGAGATGCTGATAACGCTCTTGACTTCTGCTTATCTGGAGGCATTTTGTGTGCGTGTGGTCATCCTCCTCCGCAGGGCGTGGAGCGGACAGACTGTGGAGCCCTCTAGATTTAACGCTTATTTTGCAGCTTTCTGCGATGGGGGAGCGGGGCAGCACTTGCAGACCCTCCAGCTCTGTGACTGGTCTGTGATGGGCCACCACAAACTGCTGTGGCTGTGAAAGCGGTTACGGGGTTGGCCTGTGCTGGGAACTGGTGAAAGTCTGTGGAGGAACAAGCCCTGTGGTGCAGAATGCCCCTAAATAGGTTTCCTTTCTCTTTTGGGGTTTCTCTAGTGGATTTTGCTCTGAAGGTGGTCCAGTGGTCGGAATCGGAGACAGTGCGACTTCAGCTCTGGGACATTGCAGGTATGTTCACACGGACCACGAAGCTGCTCAGGAGCAGAATTTAAAGCTCTCAATGGCTTGGCCTTTTTTTTTTTTTTTTTTTGCTAGGAGTCTGCTACAAAAATAAACCCTAAAAGCCTGTTGATTCAAGAGGCAGGACTGCCCTGGCTTGCAGTGCTGTCTCTAGTTTGCAGTAATAATTTGAATATTTAATCAAAAGCCCATCTGCAAAGAATGGAACAGCACAGATGATAAATTCTATTCAGACTTTCTTTTCAATTTCAAAGCCAGAGCAGAGTGAATGGGGAAACAGGCTCATCTGTAGCTGGATATGTGATTCCTCAGCTCTGAGTCTTCTGTTAAAATCCTGATTTCTGGCATGTTAGCCAGGCGAGCCTGATCCTTGTGTGGAGCAGCTCCGCTGACCTCGCGCTGCTCTGGCTGCACGGGCTCGAGGTTGCAACCTGGCTGCTCTGTGTAGCAGAGCCAGCGGATCCCTCGGGAGCTGTGATGGCAAGAGGAGACCCTTGAGTGCTCCCGAGGCGGTGGGGCTGGCCCGGCAGTGGGGCACACGCCGGGGGTCAGCGTTACACGCGAGGAAGCGGGGTGAGGAGCACCCACTTTCTGGAGAGGCGCAGAGACACGCGGCCCCCCAGTTTCCCTAGCACCAGAAGCCAGGTCGGTGCAGTAGCATCTCCAGAATGGCACCTCTGGGTCTGGAGGGGTGAGGAAAACAGTGGCTGTGGTTTCCTCCAGTTTCGCTGCTCGGTTGCGTGCATCTGGAATCCTCAAAAAGAAAACAGGAAGGAGAAGTTCGCAGCGAGAGGGTTGCAGCAAGAAATTGATTTCGATTTCAGCCCCAAAAAGGCGTTTTAAGATTTGGAAAGCAGAGGGGCCACGCTGGTCACGGTGCTCTTGTCGTGCCCCGAGCAGAAGGGGACGCGCACACCGGAGTCCCTGCCGCCTCGCAGAGGTGTGCAGAGACACTCCGACGGTGTGAGGTGGCTCGAAATGCTCAGATCTCGAGGGCTTCAGAGGGAAAAGCCTGTTGAGCAGCTACAGGGCCCACAGTGAAATCTCTCTGGCGCCAGAAATGCTGGTTTTCACCATGCCCCTGACCCGCTGGGTGCGATGTGAACGCTCTGATGTCTCTGTATCTGCACGAGGACAATCAAACCGCGCAGCAGCACGGTGGAGTGACTCTCCAGATGCAGTTTTGGTGGTACGGGCAGGCCATAAGGTGTAAGCAGCAATAACAGCGTACGTGAGTCGTGATGCTTTCTCTTTAGTATCAAATTTTTCTCCCCGGAGAGCCTGGTCTGTAACGCTGTGCTGGCACAGGCTGCGGCATGTGACGATGCTGGTTGCGCGGTCCTGCCGGCGCAGGGACACGGGTGGTGGCCAAGTGTGGTCGGGGACACTAAAATTAAATTGTTACACCGGGAGCAATGCAGGTATTTCTGGGATATCTGAGTGCCTGGGTCAGGATGAAGAGCTGCCCAGTTTGTTCCAGTTCTGCCGCTGCATTGCTGAGGCACCCCAGGCAGGATGCACCTCGGTGCCCGTATTTCCTTATTATTTAGGTGGAGATTGTTACTGTCAACTTAGAAAATGTTGTGCCATGTTGTTTGCATGAACAAATCTAAAAATGGTAACTCCGGGCAGGGGATAAATTTTTTTCCTTTTGATCCCGAAGGTCAGGAACGCTTCACATCCATGACCCGGCTGTACTACAGGGAGGCGTCAGCCTGCGTTATCATGTTCGATGTCACCAACATCAGCACATTCAGCAACAGCCAGAAGTGGAAGCAGGATTTGGACAGCAAGCTCATGCTGCCAGATGGGAACCCCGTGCCTTGCCTGCTGCTGGCAAACAAAGTGAGCAGCTCTAACCGCGCTCGGTGTGTCTGCGTGTGTGCCCGGGGGGGGAGCGCAGGATGGAAGGAGGCACCTCTAGCACTCAGCCTTGCCTTGAGTTGTCCCATAGCCTGTGGTCTTTTTAATCTTTTCCTTAACTCTCCTTGAATTTTCTTTCTCCAGCAAGGATTCTCCTCTGTAACTCAGACACTGGTAGGACTGAACGCGCAGGTAGCACTAAGGGGATGTTACCAGCCGCTCTGTGCTGGGATGCAGTGCCTTGTGCTGTGCTGTCGGAGCTCAAGCTCTGTAGCTCCTGGATTATGAAGTTTTTCTTTTTTGGTCTTTAACTTGCAGTAGCCTGGGAAGGCTGTGTATGATGGTTCAGGTAACGTTTCTGTTCAGAGCTGCCAGAGGAACGTCCAGTTTTCATTTGGATGCAGCCTCAAGTTTTGCTGTGTAGATCAGCTGCTGTCTTTTAGTGATTTATTTTTCTTTGATTTAAAAAACCACCTTTATGTTCTTCATGTGCCAGCGTTGGCTTAGCAGCCCTTTCCAGATTCAGTCTGAGACTTGACTGGTTTGAGAGAGCCTAAAACTAGAGACGACTCAAAAAATGCGATGGGTGGGCAGGAGAGTGGCTTTTCTTCTCCATTTCTTCACAAAAGATGCTCTCCCCCGATAGCTGTTTTAAGGTAACTTTCTCGCCTGCAGTGGGGAAGTCTGTGTGACTGGACGTGCTGCAGTCACCCTCATACGAGCTGTTATGGGACAGGTTTTCTCCCTGTACGTCCCCTTGGCACTGGCGTGGCTGCCTGGGTGGCACCGTACCGGGAACGCGCTTCCTTGGTGCTGAGGGGCCAGGCAGATTTTGGATGGGTGACAATGCTTTCTCGTCCTGTGCTGGATGAACCTCCATTCCATGCGTGCTTGACTGAGGTGTGTCAGTATCTCAGATGAGATAAATATATCGCTGCTTGCAACATCCCATTAACAACCCTGCCCTAAGAACTCTCTATCAGCTTGCGATCTGGGAGATGTGGAGGGCTGAGCCTGCCTGCTGCCTGCCCGCCTGCACACGGGCAGTAAATGGCTGAGGGGGAGCATTTCCCTCCCAGCCTCAAAAGTAAAAGGCGAAACTTGAAATGACTGATTCTTATTTTACAGTGCGACCTTTCCCCGTGGGCAGTGACAAGAGAGGAAGTGGATCGGTTCAGCAAAGAAAACGGCTTTTCTGGTTGGGTGGAGACCTCTGTCAAGGAAAACAAGAATATTAATGAGTCCATGAGGTAGGCACAATGACTGGTGACACATCTGAGCGTTAATTCCCTCTTTCAGACACAGCCATCTTTGAGGTGAGGGGAGATGCTGTCAGTAAGTAACAAATAGCAGCAATAATACGCGAGTAAATCTCCTGAAGGGAAACTGAATTCTGAAAGCTCAGAAGTTTTTCTCTCCTTGGTTAGGCTCCGACGTGCTTTTGGAAACAGAAATTCTTTGAACAATACCAGGGATGTTTTTTTCATACGCTGGCCTCTACCAGGAGGATGGGAATTCATGGGCAAAGATATTAGAAATTGTTTTGTGATGCACCAATCCTTTGATGGAGAATTTGGCCTCTTCTGGAAGGTGTCAGACTGGGTATTCGCACCTGATCTTGAGGCTGGGCAGTTGGTACCTAGGAAGGCTGTTGCCGTGTCCCAGTCCTAAACTGGACCCCTCGTGAGGTGGTTGCAGTAGGTGGTGTTAGTTATCCCGTCACTGCAGAGTCTTCTGGTGCTGCCAGGTAATAGCAGTAATGCTGCTGTCAGTGCTATGAGGTTCCTTAACCTGATTTTTCAGTCATTAAAGTTCTGGCTTTTTGTGTCCTTCTAGAATGAATCGCTATTTCTCTTTTGTACTGCTGAAAAACCCTGTGGCCCAATGGTGCTTCTCTGAAAACAAAACAAAACTCACATATGTTTGTTTTCTAGAGTCCTGATTGAAAAGATGATGTCTTCATCCACTGGAGATGGAAGTTCCTCTGCTGCCGGGAGTGGGGATTATATTAACATAAAAGAGACAACCCCACCAGGCTGGGCTTGCTGTTAGATGTACTGACTACACCATCTGCCTTGGGTCTGGCAGCATGTCTTTTTATTATTATCATCATTTTTTCCTAAACTGGCTGTCACTGGTTTGGGTTTTTGTTTTTTTGTTTTTTTTTTTTTTTTACATGATTGTGAACTGTCTTCTGTTTAGTGCGTATTCGTTCTCAGTAGAGCATTGCTACAGTGAGGAGTGGAAAGAAGAGAGGAGAAGATTCCTCTTTCTTCTAGTGTAGCAGCAACTGGGAGCTCTGCTGCTAGTAATGTAGTATGGTCCGTGTTCAAGCACATGGCTTGGATGAATTTTTTTTTAAATGTTGAGCACTTCATCTTCTGACATGCAGTGGCCTGTCTCAGGCAGGGCGAAGGATGTTGAAGGAGTATTTTTAATATTGTTGCACCTTTTATTCCCCACCGCCTGCACCCACCATACACAAGGCACCAGTCCAAAGCACTATAGTCACCTTCATTTGATGCATGCAGAGTTCAAGCAATCTCCCTGTGCCTGTGGATTCCCGGGGTGGGATTACAGCAAACTCTTGACTTCATGCTCTGGCACTATATACCTCAGTTTCCATGTCCTGGAGAGACCAACACATCACATCATTGCCACTAACTGTCCTTAAAATGTGAAGCCAGATGTTGTGGATTAGCATTGGTGTCCCACCTAACCAGACCTGTAAAATTATCAGTGTGAATTTTGAGAAATGGTGCAGCACGGCCCTCGCTTTCCTGTGTACTGATGGTGATGCTTAACAGCAGAGACTTCAAACTTTTGTCAAGAATTGCCCAGTTGCCTTCTGTTTGTTCCTTCTCACTCACCCTCTGTCTAGCACAATCCTGTGTATTCTGTTCTGCTGCCACTTTATTAGAGCACGGAGCGCTGAATGGGGAATAGGTTGTAAACTCCTTTGTATGACAGAACAACAGCCCTTTTCACTTTTCGAACACCCTGTATCCTCCCATCTCAAATAGCTTTGCAATTGCTGATGAATTGCCTTCCCATAATTATTCTGTAGCGATGAGTGAATTTGGTAGCTGGGGTGGTGCAGGAGAGGCAGCTCCCCGAAAGCCCACGCGCTGGGTTTAGCAGTGCAAGGGGGGAAGCAAAGGAGATTTTCCAGGACAAAAGGAAGGGGAGAGAACTGCTCCCCACTTGCCTTTTGGTGCTGGCTTTCCCCAGCGTGTCCCTGGGTACTCATTGGTGAGAACGGTTCTTGCCAACAATGACAAAAAAATTGGTAAAAGCACACTAGATAGATAGTTATCTCGGGAGAATTAATAGGAAACACAGGCTGTAGGGCTGGAGTGATAGAGCGTTGCGTGCATTTTATGTAAGCATGCTATGCTATGGAATTGTCTTGCCCATGTTTTAGGTTGGGATTTGAACAAGTGGTCTTCAATAACGTTTTCCCCTTCTCAAGTAGCTTAATTTGAAAACAGGACTTTAAATTGGTTCGTCCCCACTCCTGCTGAGTTAGAACCGCTTTTCTTTGGCAAAGTATTCCTTCTGTCTGTGTTTTCTTACCTTATGTAATCTATGGGGGAGAAGGTGGTAAGAACAGGAACCGTTTGCCTTCACTAAGCACAAAAAATTCTGTGTTTTCATTCTCTGGAGTTGAAAAGAATTAATAAGTAAACAGTAAGAGCTAAGAAATTTAGAACTAGTGTTCCACCATTTTAAATAAAAGCTAAAACATCTGGGCTAGGATTCTGTTATGCAAATATTGCCAAATTCATCTTTATAGGCACTTAAATATACCCTTTTCTGTGCTGTTGGATTCACTGTAGAAATGTATGAAATGTGTAGAACTGGTTAACAACAAAATTGAACTGTCCTGTTTAATTTTACTTCCTAAACACTGTTAAAAAAAATAGTATTTTTTTACTCTTATAAATAATTTCTAGTTGTTTATGGTACATGGGGAGAAGAGTCTAATGTCTTAAAGGATCTGTCATGAAACCACTGAGATTCATGTGTTATTTATTGATTTCTGTATAAGCACCTCAAAGCATTTCAGCAAAGAAGTCAAGTGTTAGAGCTGTCCTTACAGACGGAGAAATCTCTGCCCGGGATGAACTAACTACTCAAGTCAGTAAGAGCTTGGCACTGAAAGGAGAATATCTAATTCCTGTCTTGGTGGCCCAGCTGCTAGGCCACGCATCTCGCGGGAAGGGCATCTCTGTACCTTTGCCTCTTTGGTGTCTGGACCTCTTAATCTGGACCTCTCTTTCGTAAGTGCCTCTCAGAAACAAGCAAAAAGCCAAAGCAAGATCTTTGAAGGTTTTCTTCTATTATACATATTTTCTGGTTTGCCCAGTGGTTTCCGGTACCAGTGTATGCCTTGGTTTTTTTTTTTTTCCACACTGCTTACTGCTTGCTAACATCTTAATAGACACAGTAGACAAATGTCAAAAACCAAGCCTGCACAACAGAAACAGTCATTGCTTGAGATGGGTATAAAAACCCAACCAGACAGGAAAACGATTTTACTGTGCAGATGTGTGTTTTTTCAGAGCTTGCTCTGTGGCACATAAGGTGCTTAAAGAAGCAAAACAAAACAAGACAACCAACCCTTGATTTAGTCCTGTAAAACAAACTGACTCAGAAGCCCCATCTAAACATGCTCTTTGCTGAGATAGGCAGTGTGGGAAGAACGGTTGCCTGTGAAATTGATTGTGCCCAGCTTGTGCTAGTTGAAATAATTCTCATTTTTAAAACAACTGGAAGGGAAAAGCCAACTTGAGTGAAGCAGTTTCTAAGAAATATTTTAAATAAAGTCTCATTCATGCAGACCGATAAAAACTTTAATCTTTCAAATATGAATCAGAAAAGCCTCGTCTTTATTCTGGTGAACTGTTTCACTGGTGTCTTTGTCAGGAATGACCTGTTTTGAAAATGAAAGCACTTGATTCTCCCTTCTGCAGTGCCTACTTTGTCTTTGTACTCTCTGTGTGACTCTGGGACAGCTATACCTATTTCCCTTCCTTCCATGTGTTGTTTCTCATTCCCATAACTTTAATTTGTGGTCACGGGACTCAAAACCACATGAAATTTAACGGTGTATTTTATATGTTGATGACAGCACACTGTGGGTCCACATAGCTGAAAATTTTTACTGCAAGAGAATCTGAAAGCATGAAGGCAGGCTATAGTTCAGAAATAAGTCAACAATATCAAAACTTAGCTTTTTTTTTTTTTTATTTATTTTTACACGGCTTGCAGTTATGCAGAAGTATTTTAGAGACAGGGCTCTGATTACTGTAAAGTTGCAGTATTATCATGTTTATATAAAGAGAAGAAACTTCTGGGAGGTTTTTTCCGTATCAGTAATTAATGCAGCATTGCAACAGTTTGAAATAAAAGTTTGACATTGCTTGTGTAGTAGTAGCTGTTGTTGTTTTCCTGTCTCAACAGTCCTACCAAATGGGTTCACAAGTTCAAACTGGAAAGTAGTCTTGCAGTCAATAACAGGGTATGTATGAAGCATAGTGTGAACTGCCCTGCGTTGCCAGCAAAACAAATTAGATGCTTTTCACTGAAACATCTTGCCATCTGCATTATTGTAGTTTTGCTAACCTACAAGTGGGACGTAAGCATGCAAAACTTTCACATCTGTGAGTGAGTCATGGTGGCTTTTAATCCAATATATCCAGCTAAGAGGAGAAAGAAAAGAATTCCTTGATGTGGTTGTTTGTTAGTACACCTTCCTCCTTATGGCTCATTAATTCACACAGTGTATTTTGGGGCTGGCAGTGCAGGCAGGCAGTTGCTCTGAATGCCCCTCTTTCTTTCCTGATCAGCTTGATTTTCATGAGTATTGACTTGCACAAGGGACAGGGCACATCTGAATTGATCACAAAAATGGCAGTAATTCCAAAGGAGACAAATTAAGCTCAAGCAGGGCATTAAACTACTCTACTCCTATAATTGGGTAAAAAGATGGCCATATTTGTATTGTCAAGCCAGTCTTCTCAGATAAACTAATATATTAAAAAAATGGTTTTATGTACTGTTTTTAAAAAAATGGAGGAACGAGTCTCTCTAAAGATTGAAGTGCAAAGCAAAAGTGACTTGCCATGGTCAGAGCTGCCATTTTAATGGACTCTCAAATACATTTTATTTTTCCCTAGCAAAAGCAGCTCCTTTTCTAAACAAAATGAGTAATTTGGGGTTTCTAGGTAATTTGAAGAACCCAAAACTTCCCTGGACTTTGCATGAGTTGTGCACGTTCTTTCTATCTGCTGACTAGCAGAGGGAAAAGCGGCAGTGGCCATCAGTACTGGTAAAACTTACGCCTGCTGAAATTAATTTTCTGCGTTCCTTCGTATGAAAAATACTTCACACCGAATCTAGGCCTGATCGGTGTAACATAAAAAAAAAAAAAAAAAAAAAAAAAAGAGTAATGTGCTGTGGCAGTGCGTAGATTGTAAATTCCATGGGAAAGTGTAATCTTATCTCGTAGAGGGGCTCGCTTCAGGGCAGGGGGTGCTGCTTGGGTGGGGGTGTCGGGGTACGAAGGAAGGCGCGGTGGAATTTCGCGGTGTCCCCGCGGCGCGGCCGCTCCGGGTGCCCGTGGGCCCGGCGGGTCGATGCCGCCGCTCCCCGGGCTCTACCCCGCTTGTGTATTCGGCGGCCCCCGCCGAGCTCCGGCCCTGAACTCCGGCACGCTTGCATGACAAAAAGCCCCGCGGCAGCCGGGAGGGCGCCGGGATCGCCCCCCCACCCCCGGCCCTAACCTCCCTTCCTAAGCCGCGAGAGGCACGGTGCACCCCGAGGGCACGGCTGCTGCCCGCCCCCCCGCAGAGACCCCCAACCCGGGGGGGGGGGGAAGCGGGGGAGCGGCGAGGCCCCTAAAGCAGCCCTGCCGCGGCGGGGGGGGGGGGGGGTTGGGGCGAGGGGAGCCGGGACCCCGCTTTTCCCCCTCGCCGGGGCCCGCTGCGAGGCGGCGCGCCGCTTCTCCGCCTTTTCCCTCCAAAACCAGCGCCCCCCCCCCCGCATCCCCGCGCGGCGAATCTGCCGCGGCGGCCCCGCCGGCTTCCCCCCCCCCCCCCCCCCCCTCCTCCTCCTTCTTCTTCTTCTCCTCCTCTTCCCCGTGACGCCGCGGGGAAAACCCAGAGCCGGGTACCGGTTGCGGCGGTGGGGCGGGACCGGGGGGAACCGGGCGGCGGTGGCGAATCTGCCGGCGGCGCCGCGGCCCGCGCTGCCGCCTCACAGCAGCTTGAGCGTGCGGAGCGTCCTCGCCCCCACCCCCCCCTCCCCGCGGGGAGAGTGGGCATGGCCTGCCCGCCGTGATGGTTCGAACTAGCCAATAGCAGGCGGCGAGCCGCCCGCCGCGGCCAGTGAGCGGGGGAGGGAGGTGGTGCCAGCGGGGTAGGCTGCACCGCCCCCCGCTCGCATCCTCTCGGCGGTGCGAACGCGACCATTTTGCGGGGGGGAGCGGCGAGCGGCGGCGGCGGCGGCGACCGCGGCGGAGCGGTGACCGGGGGCGGGGGGGGGCCCGCGGAGGAGCGGGCGGCGCCGGCGGCGGGAGCGCGGGCCGGCGGCGGCAGCGCCTGAGGGGGAAGAGGCGGCTCCGGAGGCGCGGCCTGAGGCGCTGGGCCCAGGGCTCCCGCTCGCTGCGGGGAGGGGACGGGCGACGCCGAGCCCGCACCACGACACCGTTTTGTTTTTTTTTTTTTAATTATTATTTTTTTTTTGTTTTAGTATTTTTATATATTTTCCCCCCTCCTTCCCCTCAGCGCTGAGGCGGCGTCCCCCGGGCCGGGCCCGAACCGCCGGGGAAAATGTCCAGGCCTGTCAGGTGAGTCCTTGGCGGAGCGCGGAGGCCCCGCTCCCGCCTCTCTTCCCCCCCCCACCCTCCCTCCTCCCCCGCGGCGCCAGCGCTGCCTCTGCCCGCCCGCCCCCCGCCGGGCCCGGCCCCCGGCCGAGCCCCTCCCGCCGGGCCTCGCCGCAGGCCGTGCCCGGGGCGGGCTCCCGCAGGGCGGGGGGCGGCTGCGTGGCCGTGGGGCGCGGAGGGGGCAGGGAGGCCGCGCGGATGCAGCATGGGCCGTGCTCTCCTCTGTCCCTCCCTCCCCCCTTTATTTTTTTTTCCCCTTACAACTTTTAATTTTTTTTTTTTTTTAATTTGTAAGGCGCTTTGGCCGGCGCGGGGTGCTGTGCATCGCCTGGGGGTTGGGGGGGGGGGGGGAGCCCGGGGGCGGCAGCGCGCCCCGCTGCGCCGTTACGGGGCGGGGGGTGCGAAGGAGGAGGAGGAGGAGGAGGGAGGCCCTGCGTGCGCCGCGTCCCACATTTTGTAACGGGGAAAAGTATATCCACCGCGACCCACTTCGCGCAGGGCGGGAGGCGGTGCTCGGCAGCAGGGCCTCTGCCGCAGCCCCCCCTGCACCCCCGGGCACGGAAAAGGGGGGTGTGGGGGGGGGGGTAGAGGGGGGCAGAGCAGACCACGCCGCGCGGGCTGGGGGAGGGGACACGCATGCAATGTGCCGTGACCAGCGAGGGTCTGGAGGAGAGGGGCTGTGCATGCGAGTTCAACCACGTTTAGGGGAGGAGTTGGGAGGAGCCGCCCACTCTGGTAGGAACAGCACTGAACACACGCCCTTCTCCTCTCGCCTGGTAGCTCACTGCACTCCCCCGGTCGCTTTCCCACTGGTGTTTCTCCCACCCACCCCGAGAGGGCTGATTTTAGGTCGTGGGGAGGAGGAGGAGGAGGAAACCGCGGGCCGTTTAGCTAAACGGGCTGTATTCCCCCCGACAGTAAAAGGAGGTAGGTTGTGGTGCTTGTGTCTTTAGTTAAACAGCGTTGGACCTGGAGCGTGGAGTTGCAGGGGAATCTGAACTGCGTTGTTGGATCGTGATAACTTTGAAAATCTATGGCATAGAGAACTTGCCATGTACCTGAAAGTTTACTGAGGGGAGAGGAGTGTATTTTATTTTACTTTTCTCTGGAAAGTACAGAAGAGAGTGAACTTGTGATTTAAATTGTCTTTATAGAGGAGGTAAGAGGTTTCGTACAGTATTCTTTGAATGCTCTGAAATTTTTTCATGCTCAAGTTACTCTGAGTAACTGGTTGTTCTTGCCAGTAAGCCTGATCTAGTATGTGGATCCTAGGTATTTTGGATCTTTTGGAGTAATAAATATGAAATGAACTGTGGCGATAAAACTTACATATATATATGTTTATAGGGGGTGGCCTTTGTATTTAAGTAATACCTCTAATATGTGAGAATTTAAAAAAAAAAATAGAAGCTGGAACTACTTTGCTATATACAGAGGTTTGGCACAGTGATTGGTGAAACAGTTGTTTTTCATAGCTCTTTTTTTGACCAATAGGGTATTCTTGCATGCAAAGGTAAGGGTAAATAAGGCTCAAAGTTCCAGTCTTAAGGAATTGCCTCGGGTCCAAAAGGTGGATTGATAGGATTGGGCATTGCCTGCTCTGAAGCATCAGGCTTTGGCCTTGTGCAAGGCAAGGCAGGATGTTGGACTCTATGGACTAGTGGTCTGATCTTGAATGACAGTGCTTGTGTTCTGAAATACAGTGGTGATGTGACATTGCTGCTCAGGGTGACACTTCAGTGTACGTTCTGCTGGTGATTTACTCGCCAGCACTGGAGTCTTGCTACAGGTAAGGAAAGTGTTGTAAGTTTAAAAGTATAGCTTCTAAGGTTTCTGGTATTAAGTAACTTTGTAAGCAACCATTTCTAAGAAAATAATTTTAAAAAACCCCAAAAAACTACAGTCCTGCAGTGTTGTGAAAGATCTGACTTGTCTTACCCTCAGTTGACAGGCACTGGTGTCCAGGAAGATTAAGTGCCAAAGTCCGGCAGACTGTTAGTAGCAGAAAACCTTTTGGCGCATGTCCATAATAGATCTAGCAATCTGCTGTATTTAATAGCCCTTTCAGGGGTGAAAATGTAAATATTCAGTGGCTAGTGCATTATATTCCTCTACTAGGTAGTAACTGGAGAACTCTCCTAATATATTTAAATTCAAAACTTAAAATTGTATGTTGTTTTTTTTTTTTTTTTTTTTCTGGCTATCTTAACTTATTGTTGGTATTATGAAATTCTGATGAAAGGTTCCTCATCAGAGTGAGATTTAGTGTTGGAAAAGTGTCCTTTTTTAAGTGGTCTTTGAATTAATTTATTATATATGTTAGTTTCTAGTGAATATATAGGCATCTAAAACAATTAATAAAATCCAACAGATATCCCCAGTTTCTATTCCACTTGTCAGTAGAAGACTGACTGCCTTCAGACCGGGTCTGGTTGTTGAAAACAGTTTGTTAAAATTGTTAAGAAGTAGTAATGAAATCCCAATATTTACAGGCTTCGTGGGCCTGGTACTTAGAGCCAAGTATTTTCTACACAATTAAACTTCTCCTGGGTGGATAACGATGGGAGCTGCACTATTGTTAGAAAACAGCAAGAAGTAAAAAGTAAAGGTACTACGCTTCTTGAACCTCTGCATCTTGTAGCTAGTTCTTCTCAAGTACTGCAAAGAGCATTTGAGCTGGTGGCTACATCATCATATCCTTATTTATCCTGGAATATAAATGAAATAAAACATTCTGAGCCACTGTTTTTATATATAGCATCAATGTGTTTTAAGTAAGAATTTTGACTTTAAATTCCATGCAGCTTGCCTCTGCTTTCCCTTTCACTTGCTGGTGTTCCCCTCCTGCAGACATTGCAGAGTGGGACTGGGCAAGTATGGAAATAACAGGGGGGTTTGTTTGTTCACTTTAAGATTGAAGCCAGTTATGAATTGATCTAGCTCAGTGCTTCAAGGCTTTCTGTACTTAATTTTTCTTTATTAGTAGCTCTTGAATCCCATTCTTGCATTAGCACTATATTGGAAGGGTGGTCCTTTGAAATGTTACTTGCAGGAAAAAAAAAAATCCAACATTTATCTATTAAATATAACTTGTCTTGTTGCCAGTGTTGTACCTGGACAATATAAAGTGTAAATATTGTGATTCTGGAAAACTGTCATGGGGTAGCAGGAAAGCAACATTTCCTTGGGGATTGGCATTTAACTTGAGTAATAATGTGTGGTAGTGTCCAGAGGTAAGCTATAGACACTTTCCAGATAAGTAAAAAGATACAATCCTTGCTCTGAAAACTTTCAGTCTAAAGAGAAGCAGGGAGCAAGGTAGAAGTACAATAAAAATCAAAATACCAGGAACAACACAGGTTGCAGAATAGATTTTTTTTTGTTTGTTTGTTTGGTGTGTGTTTTTGGGGTTTGTTTGTTTCTCCCCTGCTCTGCATCAGAACATTTCTATATTGCATTTTAAAATCTCAACTGTAGTTAGGTTCAAATGGAGGATGGGCACAAGACTGCTTAAACTGTTGCTGCATAAATCATTTAATTGTTTTATGGAGTTTCAAGTCATGTGTATCCCTAAAAATTCTGCAGATACCATGAGCAGTGCCTAGTCTTACAGACGTTTGGAGTTACACCAAGTCCAGACCCAAACAATGACCTCTGTAATTGGGAACCTCTAGTCGGTGAGTCTTGTCTGAGTACAGTTGTGCCAATTTTTAAATAGACTAACACCATAGTGACGTGTTTTAGGTACATAACTGTCACTAGGCTTCGATGTTTCAACTTCTGATGCGTAATTGTAAGTGAATGTTCATCTGAGGCCTAAGTCTAGCACTGCGTATTGTTTTGCACAACTTTGAAAACACCTATAAGAAACATCTCCTATCTATTCTCTTATCTATGTGTAAAAAAGGCACCAAAGGGGTGCTTTTAATGGCAATATTTATCGATAATATGTTGACCTCAAAGGGAGCACGGTGAGAACCAGGAAGTGAAACTGGCCACTCTGGGCCAGAGCCCCACGGAGCCTGGCCGGGGAAGGTCCCTAATGTTTTTTCACGGCTGCTTAGTTTGATAGTTATGTTGGTTAAATGCTGTAGTTAAGGAGGAAAAAAAAAAAAAAAAAAAAAAAAAAACAAAAAAAACCCCCTCAGTAACTATTTAATCTGTCATTCATTTACTTGTCACGTTGTATAAGACGATAGGTTGTTACTTCTGCTGATAATTGTTTGACCTAAACAGTCCTCAGTGCATGATGAGATCAGTTACTAGCTTTCTGAAGACTCCTTAGCATTGGTTTTCAGGAGTATATGTACTTTTTTTTTAAACTTGGACTTTATCTATGGATTTAAATACCTGGGGATCTAAATATTCCCCCCCCCAAAAAAAAAATCCCCAGAAGTTTTCTAACTGTGTTAGTTTGTATTCTGACATGTTGACTTACAAAGACTGAGGGTTTAGGGACCTCACTAGCTGAAGACGGGGGCATTACTGTACAATCCTCACTCATTTGTGTTGGCATTTAGTGGTCCTTTTAAATGTTAATACTGCTTTTCATCATTTAACAGTATCAGCTGGGTAGGCATCCAGTATAGGTTGTGAGAACTACTGTGCATTTTTGAGTTCTTATTAAATTACTTGAATATTACTTTGCTAAGTAAGTGCTTCCGATGTAATGTGTTGATGGTTTACTAGATGAGTTACTCTTTATTCCAGAAATATTGGGCTGACAGCTGTTACTAAAAACTTATGCTATTGGGACCTCCCTCTATAGCTTTCCTCCCCCATTTCCTTCTCACGTGCACACTTTAAACGTTAAACTGGATTAACAAGTTATTTTAAAATAGTGCATATTTTAAACCAGATTGAACAATATCCATCCCAGATGTCTGCTAGATGGTCTTTTTATGCTCAATCTAGCTGAATTTAACAAATAGTTTGTTTTTATGTCTGGTTGCTTGCCTTAACATCTTCTAGTTCTTGCTAGTGGCAAAGAGATTCTCTCCATTGATGAAACCAGCAATATTTTTTTTTTCTGGCTCTTAACTCCAGTGAACTTATCTACTGTGTTTTTATCACCTTGGTGTAACAAAAGATGCAGTCTCTCTTTGCAGACTTGTAGTTATTAAGCATTGCACATCAGTGCTGTTGACAGTTCTGAAGGAAAACATAAGCTGGTCTAAATGGAGTGAATGATGAGTACAGAGTGAGGAGAATGGCAGATGCAAGAGCAGTTTGTTTGATATTTCTCCCCTTGTGAGCTTCTCTGGTTCTGTTGGGAAGACTTGCAAGTAATATCTTCAGTAATAGCAGTGTAGATATTCCTTCTTTCTTCCACCCTTCTTGCCCTGCAAAATAAGATAAAGCAAGCCAAACAGCCTTCTCTTTATTTTTTTCTTCTGCCATAGTGATTTACTTTCCAGCTGAAAACATAGGGTACAGTACTTAGAAAGAAGGATGTTTTCCTTAGGGACAATGTTTTTCGTTAATGTTTTATCTGACTGTGTTACCTTTTCAGTACCTGATTTAATATGGGTCTCTGACTGAAAAAAGCAAGATGAAAATGTGTATGACCAGCTTACTACAAGATGGCAATATTGCAATTTCCATCTTGTGTATTAGAAAAGGAATGTTAGAAACCATTGTTTTACAAAGCTGCTATAACACAGTATGTGGCAATTCTCCTGGTTTTTTTCCCCGTTTATGCTTTCGGAGGAAAACCCTAGTACCTGACTTACACCAAATCAAACATCCTATTTAGTAACTTTATTGTTCTTCATATGCTTAGTGGAATAAAACCGGTGTCTTCACATGTGAGATGGGTCAGGAGGCAATCTTCAGGAAGACTACCTGTTGGAACAGGAATTTGAGTCCCTGGACAGTACGCCATAACAAGCCTTGCCAATAGTTGTGTTCCTAAACTGGTGTTTTACCATATTCGGACTGTGAGTGAGCAAACAGTGCTCTGTAGCACATTGCTGTTGTACTTTGTTCCACTCACATGTACTCTGAAGCTTGGATGGGATTCAACCTGTAGAAATGTAATGACTGGTCATGCCTTACTTTTGTTTACTTGTTTGTTTTTTTGTTGAGGGGCTGGGGGCTGTTTTGTTTTGTTTTGTTTTTTTAAGAGGCTTGGTATAGGGTTGAAATAAAATAATTTATGCTCCTTCATCTTTTGAATGCTGCTGCTGTAAGCCATGAATAGAGGTACTTGTACAGGAGCATGACTTCTAATTGATTACAAATGGATCAGCAGCCAGAATACAACAAAGACTTTTGGGGGATCTTTCGACTAAACGGTCTTAGCCATGCATGATATTAATCCAAAGTGCAGTTCAGTTATGGGAACTAATTGGGAAATCCAACAGTCATGCTGTGCAGAGCAGGAGAGGGGAAGGGCATTGTGGTTTGTGTGTTGGATGGAGCTTGTGTTGTCTTCTCTTTGCAGCGATCCTCAAGTCTGTCGTGCTGGGTAGATCACTTAATCTATCGCTTGCCTGATTTTTCTAGCTGTAGAAGTGAGCTCATGTGATGATTCCTGTAAAATCAAGTTCATTGTTGGCTTTGGGTCAAAGGGATTGTAAAAAGTGTGTGTGGAGGGTTGTCTGAATCTTGTGCCTTATTCAGCTGTGCCTCCTCCCATTGTATGTCAGCCATAAGAGGTGGGTGCTTGGAGTCTGATTGAGGCGTTACCAGCTAGAACTCAAATATATTTGATTTATGTAGCTGTCTTGGTTCCCTTGAGTAGCTGTATTACAGGGCAGTTAGGTCTTGTCAATAAAGTAATTGGGGTAGATGCTGGGAAAATAGCTAACAATTACTTTGGGTTTTAGGTTTTGTTTTTTTAGGTTAGAGAGACAGATACAATTTTGTTGACAAGTGAGGCATTGGTTTCAATAATAGCTGCTTCTGTAGTTAACTAATTTTGTCTAGAATGGGCGTTTGCACTGATAATGATACCCTATTGCCTGTGCTACTTTCAGTTTGGTTAGAGAGCAGAGAAGGTGCCGATGCAGTAAAGAAAGTATGGGTCCATACTCATTTGCTGTCCAAAAAGATAGGTTAAGTGAAATGCATATTTTTTTCATTGTGCCTAGTGATACAGTTAAGCATTGTAACAGCTGTCTTGCATCTTGTTAGAGCATCAAAGTAACTAAATGAGAAAGCTCCTAGAAGCCCCTGGTGAAAGCTTAAAATGTGCTAGAAACAGGGATCACATAAGAAAACAAAAATCTCAAGGAGAAGAAGGTATGAGAGCAAGCATGATTATATTGAGCTGTGAGAAGCAGAGATTCAAAAAAGATCAGTTAGGAAATGTTTATTTAATTCATGATACTATTTGTGTACTTGTTTTATATCTGGAATCCTAGTATCAAATATCACAGCTTTGAGACAGGGTGTTAGGGGGAGCTCTGGCTTAAAGTTCAGGCTGATGCATTCTTTAAATGTGTCATTCATCTTGGGGTGCAGACATTGCTTTAAAATAGTGCTTTCACTAGTATAGTGAAATATAATGATAAATACAGTTTTAATAATGAAAGAACCATGGAGCATAGGTTAAGATGGCTCTTCCTCGCTGCAGTCATGAGCCATAAGAGAGTGCTACTTATCAAAAAGCACTTTCCAATTCTGAGAATATAATCCAGTCTATAATAGCTCCATAGGAAAATGTTAGAATATACTGTGTGTTCATTTCTGACTTCAAAGGCTGGGATGTTTTTGGGCTACAAATCCTGCACTGGAAGCAAGGATATGGCACTTTCTTGTTACTTGAAGAAATCTTTTCTATCTCTGAGATTATGCATTGCTAATTTATTTATTTTTTTCCCCCTGCTTTTTAACAGGAACAGGAAGGTGGTCGATTACTCCCAGTTTCAGGAATCAGATGATGCTGGTAAATGACTTTTTTCTTAACAATACAATATTCTTGGGCTAGAGCAGTTCATTTATTGCTTTGCATATTAATTGTTTTGCTTCTAGTCACATCTTTAACTTAAATTCTAAGGAGTTTCTGCTCTTCACAGTCTCTGAATTGTTAATAAGTATTTGAAAATATAATGATTCTCATATGTTTTGTATTAAACAAACAATGGTGATAGAAATCTTATTATTTAATGCTTGTATTGTTGTTGTGCCTTGAGGCTGTTGGCAGCAACTGTCTTCTTCCTTAGTCTATGCTATGGTCTGTGGCAGAATTTCCCCAGTGCCACTTTTTTTCTCCAGTAAAATATGTTTTCAATTTATTTTAGTGGACTCTAGTTAATTCCATAATGTCAAGCATTTTTGTGAATTACATATTAAAAAAAAATAAAAATCTTTATGTTCTGTGTGAATTAACAAAATATTTTTGGAAGCCATATGGAATATGTTTTGTGTTCTTAAAAAATGGACATACTACTACTGTTTGCTAAGTGAGCTTGCACTGATAATTAATGGAAACAAATACACGTAGTTCTTATTTGCAGTCCTGTTACTCATATTGTATAAGGTATTGTGTAATAGTTGTAAAAAGTTACACTGTAAACTGCTACATAATATACTCTTTTTTTTCATCATATGACAGTAAATAAAGTGCTTGCTGTTAAAAACATGTAGAAATATATATGGTTGTTAACTTTTAGTAGGTTTATGTAATAGCTCTCTGACTAGCTGTAAAATGAGGTACTGTGTCCTCTTGTGGGGCTTTTTGTATGTTTCTTAATACCCTGGTATACAGACTTGATTGTGTACAGCATTTGTATTGTGCTGTTGACAGAAGAAAAGGTAAATCACTAGTTTAAGACAGGACTTTGCTTCTATAAAGTTTTGTTTGAAGCTTTGTGATTTTTTGTTTTTTTTGAAGGGCTTCTTTTTGATGTGCATGAAATGGTCAGTTTAAGTTATAGCTGAGGAAGTCAGTTTGCTGGGAACTAGGAGTTTGATTCAAAACCATTTTGTACTGTCCCGTCCAGATGAAGATTATGGAAGAGATTCAGGTCCCCCATCCAAGAAAATCCGTTCGTCTCCCCGGGAGGCTAAAAATAAGAGGCGATCTGGGAAGAATTCTCAGGAGGACAGGTAAAAGCAGCACTTCATCTGTTACAAACATGTCTTCAAACCTTGTCCTGTGTGTGGGGAGCAGTACCTTTTAGGAGTAATGATTGTAAGTGGAATTCAAGGCTTGCAGTGTAAGATACAAAGCTTGCATAACCAGCTTGGACATTGAGGTGGTTCTTCCTTATCTGAGTAGACAGGGAAATCATGTGTAAAGTACTTGTCTCTAGTACTTCATTATTAAAATAGCTTTCTGGAGCTAGACAGTTGGAATGGGAAGGAATATGATCTGAATTACAAAAATTGGCAACTAGTACAATTATCCAGGTAAGTTAGTGGCAAGATGCATTTATTTTGCATGTTTTTTTCAGTATGCTCAGAGCATTCTTGTGGTTAAAGGTTCAATGGGACATTACAGTGGCAGTCAGGAGCAGGGGCCGTTTGTTAGTTTGGTGGTTCTTTGTTTTTCCCTCTGATTTTGTCTAATTCAGAAACAAAGTAACTTATTTTGGTAACTGAGTTGCCCCAGCAGTGTGAAAGGACTGGGTTCTAAGTGATGCTCTACTGAATAGTGAAAGTCTTTCCTGTAGAGTGAAGGTATCTTCCTTTTTACATTAACCATGGTCAGCAAATGATTGCCATAAGACCAATTAAGTCAATTGACTGCTCTCATGACAGACATCAACTTCAGGGATGGAGGTTCTGCCAGCTGGCTCTTGCTCTATAAGCCCAAGCTGTCTTTTTATCCTGTTGCACTCTGCTGGAATATAGATAACTCACCAGCAGGTATGCTTACGAGACTTCTCTGTCATGCTCCTGTTCTGTAAGTTGAAAGCTGAATGTAGGCATGGGAATACTTGCATGGTCCACCTGCTATTGTGAGCTGAGAGGGAGAGACTGTTTTCACCCTGGCAAATGCCTGTAAAACCTGGAATTAAATACTGAATGAGTACAACGTAAAAAGAAATTGGGCAAGGCAGCTCCCAAAGCAACTAAATAGTTGACCTTGATGTCCTGTTAGCTTTTGGGATTTTTAAGTATGTGAGAACTTTCCTCTGTGTCACAAACATTGTAGAAGGCTTGCATGTAAAACAAACTCATGTGTTTAAGTGTTTGAAATCCACAGTTGTCTATATAAGACTGAAAACATATGGGCCTGAGGGGCTGTAATGTGACAAGTTACCTAAACTGTATTAGAGTTCTTGACAAGTGTGGTGTGTCAGCTCCAACTGCCACATTTGAAAGTAGCAAAGGTTTGATCTATTGTATTTCTTGACCTTGACACGCTCTGCAGTTCAGCCATTCCTGAAGCATATGTGGTACATCAGTGGCCCTCAACAGAGCATTCATCATTCCCATTTAAAACACTTGTTTGCTCTCTGATTGGTGTGCATGTACTTAGATGTGGGAAGGAAAACCCTCTCTGCGCAGTGGTAATCACTGATGATGAGGGTTTGGATGAGGATGGAACACGAGTACCTGCTTGAAAATTCTAACTGTAAAATAGAAGACATCTGGATTATTGGTAGGTTTAGAGTGAAGTGCATGGTTCCTCTCAACCTTATTATTTCCTGGTTGGTTCACTTGTCTTCATGTAAGTTTGTATGTGATTCAGAGTTTGAACATTAGTTTCCAACCATGATAACTACATATACAGCTGAGTAATCCTGAAGTATAACGTGGTAATGTCCAGGACAAATGCATATTCCCAGCTTACAGATCAGCTTGCTCTCTGAAAATCCCTATTTTCTGTACAGCAGTGACTGAAACCAAAGTTTAAAACAGCAGTCAAACCCTGTCTTTCTCTCCTTTTCAGTGAGGATTCAGAGGAGAAAGATGTGAAGACTAAGAAAGATGATTCTCACTCGGCAGGTAACTAACTACATTGTACTGAGAATATATCTTCTAAATAAAGACCAGTTTGTAAGTGTTACGGGAGTAGGATTTAACATAAGAAAGAATTTGTTCTGACTGAAGAAGCATGCACTTTTCTAATACACTTATCTTAAGCCGGATGCTGATTCTACCACTGTTACTTCCAGCCCTGGTTTGGGATAACTTTTGTTTGTGTAATATGATGCTGCTATAATGTTTGTCCTCACAGGCAGCTAGACATATGTTAATCTGTTCCCGGTAGTTCTCGTCTGTATTGCAGAATGATACAAGAAAATTCACATTCCTACCTTTTCTTCCCAGATGAAGATTTTGGCAGTGAAGATGATGATTTAGGAGCAGATGATGGCAAAGCTGACAGTGACTATGAGAGCTCTCAAAAAAGCAAAAAAGGAAAAAAGGCTAAACCAGAAAAGAATAAGAGAGCAGCCTCCAAATCCAGGAAAAGGCCTGCAGGTAAAAAAAAAAAAAAAAAAAAAAAAAAAGGGTTGCTAGTCTTTGCAGTGAAAGATACTGCACTGGGACATTGTTGGGTGACTCCAGAAATGTGCTTATTAGATTGAATGTGACCTGGTTCTTACAGCTCAGTTTTTCAACAAGCCTCTTGATTAACTTTCTCATGAGTGACTTGACCTTTGTTTTGCCCACATGATACCTCAAGACAGTTAGGTGGTCTGTATTCTGTATCTTCATTATAACCTGGTGACTTTTGTTGCAGAGGACAGTGAGGATGAGAAAGAAGACCACAAAAGTGTGCGTCAGCAACGACAGGCAGCATCCAAAGCAGCTTCTAAACAACGAGAGATGCTTATGGATGATGTGGGTAGTGAGGAGGAAGAACAAGAGGATGATGAGGCACCGTTCCAGGAGAGTGAGTAAATGGGATTGTAAAAAGTTAAAATCAGTGTGGCGTGGGTGTAGTACCAGACAATGAGCTTATGGGTCTGACCAAACAGCAAAAGGAACACAGTTTACTTTTAGACTGTGACAGTGAAGACATAAGTTGTCCTTCTCAGTAACTTACTGTTATACTGCATATCTGTCCAACAGACCAGGCTTTAATTTTTCACGTCTAGGATTTTTGTTTGAAGTTTGCCACAAAGATGTATGTATGTCTTCACAATAATCCTTTAGGGATGCTTGTGAAGTTCTGGTGGCCCAAACCACGACATTTATGCTTTTTGCTGCTTCTTGCTATCCCATTGGTTTTGAGGCATTGATGCTACTTTCAAACGATGTAAAAGTACTTTCATCCTTGGTTGATCAAAGTAGGACAGTTTGCTTCATAAGAAGAGGTGAGTGCAGCTATTAATGAACTGCAGTAAGTTCCTGAAATACTGAGTGCAGACATAATTTCAGAATGGAGTAAGAGCACCATTGAAAAAAATTGCTTACTCTGTCAAGAGATTCTCTTTATTTTGAGATGGGTTACTTACTGAAGCGATGGAGCATCTTTGAGGACCTCAAGACACTTTTCCATTTTGTCATACTAGTGCTTTGTCCCTACCAGGGTAAAATCTACTGCTATGGCAGATTTCTTTAGCACAGCAGATAGGTAGAAGCTCATAAGGTCACTGAGTCCTACTGCCCTGTCTCCACAGTTTAACTAGCAAATCTCTCAACTGTATCTTCTGCTCCCTTTCCTTTTTTTCTAAAAAACTTAAATTTCTTTGTGGTTTCAGCAGATTCAGGAAGTGATGAAGACTTCCTCATGGAAGATGATGATGATAGTGACTATGGCAGTTCAAAAAAGAAAAATAAAAAGGTCTCCAAGAAATCCAAGCCAGAGAGGAAAGAAAAGAAAATGCCGAAGCCCAGGCTAAAGGCTACAGGTGAGTTTGTGCAAAGAAAGTTAGGCAGTTTGCATTAGCAGCTAGTATTTTCTTTCCTGCTATAGAAGACTCAGTAGAAATCTGGGGGTCAGTAGGCATTCACATATAATGCTGAAGGACTAATTCATGTAATGTGCCATGATTTAAAGCAGCGCTGTGAAATATTAAGGTGGCTTTAATTCTTACTTAAGAGATTGAATTAGTGTCTGTGTCTTGTTGCAAAAACTGCACAGATTGCAAAACCTTCCCTATTGAGATGCTGCAGTCTGACTTTCAATGTATCACAGCCAAATAATATAATTTGTGGGTTTGTTTGGGACTCAGGGATTTTATGATGTTTTCAGGGTGGAGAAAGGTGGCGAAATCTGAACCAAAGGGAGATTTGATGTATTTCTGCAGGAATTCTAAAATCCTAATAGCGATCTATGTACTGATTTGGCAGGAGGCTAGCTATGGTAGTTTATGATGTCATATCCAGTAATTACTCAGGACTTGCAATTAAATAGTTCTTTAAATCTTGTTAGCTAACAACTTTTCAGTTCAGATTTACTAATATGGAGCACAAAAACCGCTGTGTGTGGGGTATGGTCAAAGCAAAATGAAATCTGCTGCTAAGTGCCTTGTAAATCCTGTTGATGTAAAGCCATATGACTTTTTTGTCTTTGCTGATCATAACTTTTATAAGCTTTTTCTTTTTCCAGTGACCCCCAGTCCAGTGAAAGGCAAAGGGAAGGCAGGCCGCCCCACAGCTTCCAAGGCAACAAAAGAAAAGACCCCATCCCCCAAAGAAGAGGATGAAGAGCCTGAAAGTCCCCCAGAAAAGAAAAAATCAGCCAGCCCTCCACCAGAGAAGTCAGGGGATGAGGGATCTGAAGATGAAGCACCCTCTGGTGAAGATTAAATGGCAGTTGAGGAAATCTTTGTTTAAAAAAAAAAAAAAGAAAAAAAAGAAAAAGGAAAAGAAAACATACTTAGGGGTAGAACACGGTTTTGGCTGTGGCTTGACTCATGGGCTTTGAATGCTGTCTTTACTTTCAGCTGTTTAATACAGTGTATCCTTTTTTTAATAAGAGGAAACCCTTATACAGTAATATTTTGAAGTCAATGTTCTCTGTTGGCCATTCCGTTCTCCCTCCCCCACCAAATCTGAAAGCCATTTGAGACAAATTAACAGACCATTTAAATATATATTTTTTTCAAGGGATACTGCAGTTGTGAAGCAATAAGGTTTGAGACTGATACGTGGAAACCATACTTACAAATCGTTAAGTAGAATAGATTCCCAGTGCTGGTAAGAGTTCTTTAAAACTATTATTCTGTATTTGAATATGTGGAAAAAATGAACCTATGCTTTAACAGACTTTTGTTGATACAAGTTCACTCTCAGAAAAAATGTAGTTGATAGGAATTCCAATTGAGGAAGAGGAAACATGGGGAGGAAACCTGTGTTTCTTGGATTCAGTCACGTTTTTCATGGAAAGCAATCAAGAGAATTGTAGATGGTCTACTGTCTTTTATTTAGAAAAGACCCTCCAATTAGGATGCGAGATCTTTTGTCTTTGCTGGATAGACTACTATTCTGCTTTAGGCAAATTACGGTTCGTTCTATACAAATTCAGATACATAACCTACAAGCTTCTCACATCCATTAACTAACATATTTCTTCCAAGGTTTTCTATAGATGGGCAGAATAGGGAAGAGAAATTGAAAACCATTTTTAAATCTCTGGTTTCCATTTGATATTGTGGAAGATGTCTTTAAAGTTTTTCCAAGGAAAAAATATTAATGGGTAGTGTAAACCTAAATTCTTTAGCTTTTGGGGCGAGGGATGTCCTTTTATAAATGTGAAGCAAAGGATTCCTGTAATGCTCTGGTCAGTCTCGGATCCCATGAGTCACGCTTAAGTGTTTCTCTTCTCTCCTCCATCTGTCCTCAGAAAGGTTATGTAGTCATACCTCTCAGCCTCTCCAGCTACAGTGTTGGACAGCAGACTTCCATCGATAGTGAGCATCACCACGATACCACTTCCATTTCTTCATCTTCCATCCTACAGTGTGGGAGGCTTTGCTCCCGCGTCGACATGTCTGCTTCTAACTGTTGGTCATCATTCTGCTCCCTAAGCCTAAGAAGTGCTGAGTAGGGAACTGTATTAAAGGATGAAGCTGGGAGGAAGTGGAGTTTGGAAGCAGTATAGCAGGGCTATCGTTTTATTATAAAATCAGGATGTCCCTCTAAATGCAAGACACTTGAGATGTGTGGTGGCATTTTTATGTGTTTTTATCAAAGCAGCCATATCCTTTTTTTTTAAAAAACTTTAATTAAAATACACAAGCCTTGGTTTTCAAACCCAAATACAGAGGTTGCTGCCATGTTTGTTGGTAGAAATACTGAAAACTGGACCTGCCATTTTTTTTCCTCTTTTTTTTTTTTTTCTTAAACCCTTTGTGCTTTCTGTATGTTGCTCACAGTTACCTTATAGCTGACAAGCTTTGCATCTTTTTTTTTTTTTTTTTTTTTGTCACAGAACTACATGTTTTGTAACCAGCCTCTTGAAGGTAACATAAGGCAGCTAATTAGTTGGATTTCTGGTACACATGCTACCAGATTTTTAATCCTGTTTGGCTTTTAGAGAGCTTTTAGATATGATACACTAATACGACCAGGAAAGACACTTGGCTGAATGGCATAGGGAGCCTGAAGATGCTGAGCAGAGTGTGGAGCCTAAAATGTGGAACGGAGTATTAATATAACAGCCGAGTGATTGTCTTGTGTGATTCATAGCCATGGATTTTATTGAGGCTGGTAAATTACTTTACCTTGGCTTATAAAAATTTAAGTTCTCTAACATTCTTTACTATAATGAAACTACTGTTGCCGTTACAATAAAGATGATCGGTGTTTCCATTGTAAATCTTTTTTTTTTTTTTAGAGTGGTTTAATTTTGCAGAACAGCTTAAGGCTGGAGTGAAGTGTCAGTCTTGAAAAAGTAAATCTAATCCCCTCTCCTCTCTCACGCCTCTTCCCACCTTCCAGATCTCTGGGAGAGCAGAGTCTCTTGCATTCCCTCCACTCCTAGTCCAGTGCTTCTTGGGTAATATGGGAAAACAAATGGCCAAGTTCTAAAAAACATTTGGATTAAATTTGGGGATAGCATACACTTTTGTGAATATCTGGTCCACATAGCTGTTCCCCTTCAGTCCAGACTATGTTTCAAGTTACTCTTGTCTATTGGGTTCTTAGGGGTTTTTTGGTAATAAAATTTACAAGGATTACTTAAAAGTAGAATACCTCTAGCTGATCTGGTCAAACAGCTGTTTATCCACTAGACCAGATTTTTTCTGAAGAGTGTATTTTGTAAATTCCACTTGAAATATATTTTTGGGTTTTTTTCTAACACAGTTAACTAAAGTTAAGGCTGTGAAAAATGTGTTTCTGTTGTTCTCAGTTCAGGTTTTGGACTGGATTATTTTATGCCTGGCAATTTTGGCCCTATATCTTACAAAACTGTTCTACTTTCTCATACGTTCATCTCATGGCTGTTACAGGCTGCATGATGCTTATCTTTGAGTTTGTCACAACCTAAACACTATGTAAATCCTGTACTACTTCTGGGATTTTGTAACTTTTTCTATATCTCACAGTTTTGCTGATTTGTGCAAACACTAAGCCCTAATGGTCTCTTGGTTACTCTGTTAGAAATACAGCAGTTTACATTTTTACAGATAGAAGAAAATTGTGAAGGTTAATACATTATATTTTTTTTTACTTTAATTTTTTTCTTTAGTACACGACATTTTTCAGTAGCTCAGACATAACATTTTTAAATGTCCTTTTTAATTAATTTGTATTAAGCATTCTGATTTTTTGAAGGAAAGCTGTAAAAATGCCTTTGTTTAGGAGCATGAATAGTTCTTCACGGAGCAGAAAGTTTCATTCACAGAAGAAGGCTTTGAAAAGGTTGTCTTCTGTTATACAGCTGTAGCTTTGGAGCCTTTGCAGAGAGGTAAATGGATTTATTCCAAAGTTTAGTTTATCTAGTGCTCTGCCTTGGTCTTACTCTTAAAATGGTAGTTCATAACTAACTACCGTTATAAATCCTTTCCTACATTCTGTTTCTGAATCCACCACATTGTTTCGCAGTTAGATGCCAATAGTACTGCCTTTAACTGGCCACAAGGCTTGATCAGTAAAAATTTGTAATTTAAATTGGAATTTCATACGAAAGATTATTTGCTTCAGTTTCTCTTTGATCGGCATGAGAATGCCAAACATGCCAAGTTAAATGGGTTTCAGAATGGATTGTGGGTGAGAGCAAGACTTAAAAATGGAGCAGCCAAGAAGGTTTTAATTTTGTTGTTTTAACTTAAAGCAGAATTGTGTCTGGGGAGAGAAGCGGCACACTTGGGTGACTTCTTCTAGGGAGCCTCAGCAGTGCCAGGTAACGGTCTGAGCGTGCTCAGCTCCTGTGCCACCACATGGCCACATCCGCAGGTGATGGACTACCAGGGCAGTGGCAGAAGATGCGCTTGAATTCCTTTTTTTTCTTTTTTTTTTTTTTTTTCCTTTTTTCTTTTTTTTTTTTTTTCCCCCCTCCACTGGTGATGGTCACAAAGGTACAATAGACACTGAAGCACCCAGGTTAAGGAGGGAGGGAAGTAAACTGTAACATGCTGGAAGCTTTTGAGCTGTAGAAACTGGTGCTTTGCTTTATGTAATTTGTTTGTGAAGTGTTTATTTTTATAACAGATCATATTGTTGAACACATGGTTCTTAAAAACTACAAACTGATCCATGAGTTTAATATTTGAGAAGTGGATGTTCATCTGTTGGGGGAGGCAGGATATGAAAATGTGAGCAGACAGATATTTAAAGGGACACTGTCACGAAATAGCTGCTGGCATATAGGATATGGTAGTTTGGGTTGGGAAGGTCACATCTATATGTGGAAATCATATATTCTATATGCGATGGAGAATTTTCCCTGAACTTTTAATATTTTCCTACAGTTTTGGGAGGTTTAAATACAAGTTCTGCTAATGAAATTAGGAAGAAAAACTAACTATTGTGTTCTTACTGTTCAAGATAACTTTTTTTTTAAGTACTATGAGGAGTATCAGAGCTCTGACAGATGACAGTGTCCTTTCGAGACCTCCCCAGATCAAGTGTATCCTCGTTTTAGACTTCCCACTTCAGTAGGTGACTGGCATTTGAATGTCTTTTCATTGAACTCTTTATATTAAAAACAAAACACAAATATTTCTAAGTCTAGTCCAGTTCTCGCCATGTGCTGACTCTGTGTATCAACCACTATTGGAAGCGACTCTCTAGACTGCCTGCCCCCTCCAGCCGCAGTGAATCGAGTGGGTCCATCGGTCTGAGCATGCTCAGTGTGACTGCAAAACACCATTGTGCATATGCTTTGTATATTGGGGCAAGGGTTTTTTATATATATATTTTGGGAGGGGTAGTGGGTGGGATGGAGAAATACTCAATCAGCTTAAGCCAGAATAATGTGTGTAAAAGCCCCTGAAGTATTTTGTGTGTGAGTGCGCGGGTGTGAGTGCGCGCATGGGAGTGTCTGACATCTTATTCCCTTTGTGTTCTGAAGATTTGTGAGTTTTACTTTTTTTTTTTTTTTTTCCCCTGCAGAAGCAATTGTTACAAAAAAAATTGTAAATAAGAGCTACATAATTTTTGTTTAATCATGAACATCGTGTCACAGCAAACCCTGAATAATGACTTTGAAGGTAGAGGAGGAGACTCCAGGTAGGGCCTTGGGCCTTTGGCTATCGGCAAGGCATCACTATATGGTATGCAGTGAATATTTGTCTTGAGTATTTGCAATCCCCTGTTGAGCTTTTCTAAAATTCAGGCTCTTTGCAGTTCCTCTCCCCATTCTTTTTTTTTTTTTTTTTTTTTTTTTTTCTAAATCTCAAAAGCAGACAGAAGAAGGGGCAGCTGCGAACGGTGTTCCAGTGCTGCTGGCCCATGGTCGGGGGGGGTGACATCACTGGGCCCGATAGGGTTGGCGACTCTTGCAATACCTTGACAATACAGAGATCTACCGCATGGTACTAGGAGTTAAGTCTGAATGTAACATTAATGCTTTATTTAAAATAAAAACAACACTTTTTTTCCTAAGGGGTTGAAGTGAACATGACTGTTGACCATGTTCGTGAATTTATAGATGCAACATTCATTGGTAGAATTGTGTGATGGTCTTTTGTGCTACTTAATTTTACATATTCCAGTCTCTGTATGTACCTGCAAAGAAAGAAAAAAAAAAAAAAAATAACAAAACCCTGCTTTGCTTTTATTGAAAGGGTTCCCAGGACTGCATACCTGCTCCTGAGCTCTGTTTTAAGTATGTGTATCCTTCGCTTGTATTTTGTATTAAAAAAAACCACAAGGAAAAAGAACCCTTTATTGTTCAGCATGTTGGAATTGTGTCCCCTCTTTTATTTTTCTCCTTTTTGGAATATATTAAGCAACTCATTCTTCTGTATCTTTTATTTTCTTTTGTAAACTTTTTGGTTTTGTTTAAAAATGGCTTTATAAAAGGGCTTTTATAACCCGTAAACATGGCTTGTGTAGTTTTTCTGCTATCAAAGGTATTATTCTTTTGCGGTTGTTTTTTATTTTGTGAATGTTAGTGAGATGTGAAAGCGTGTTCATTTTTCAGGATGCCTGATGCTTTGGGGGTTAATTCCTTTGCAGAGTTTGAGCTTCCTCTGAGGAGGGTAAGTCAGGTTTTGGCCAGAACAGTTTGGCAAGTACAACCTTCCCATTACTACCTATGAATTAAGGGGAAGATTCAGTGTTAGCTGTAAAGAACACAATCCTTAGTTTGTCAGGCTGTTCCACGAGAGGTGTGAGTTGAGGTTTTCAGGTTCACAACCAATTACGAAAAGCAATGACGAGGAGAGACAAACCCGTTCCCACGTCATGCTTTCCCTCCACGATCGCCAGCCTTTCTCTTTGGCCGTGTGTGTCCCAGCAGTGACAGTAAATACACCCGCCGGCTGTCCCGCCAGAGCGGGACCTGTTCACCGTTTCCCACGCAGACGAACTCGCCCCGGTACACGCCCCTTTCTCCGCGCGCCGCCCCGGGCTCGGCGGCTCCAGCCCCGCCGCGCCGCCAGGGGGCGCCCCGCCCGCGGGGGGAGCGGCGTCACCGGCACCCGAAATCCCAAATCTCCCAAATTTGGCGTTTGCGTTCGCGCTTCGCTCGCGTGTGTGTGCGCGCGCGTGTCAGCGTTTGGCAGCCCGCAGCTGCGGTGCGGGATGGAGACCTGAAGGGGTTTGTTTCTCGCAGGGTTTAGGACGAAGCGGCTTCGCGCATCCTGAGGGGCCTGCGTTTCCTCAGGGCCCGGTGTGGCAAAGCACTTTGCGCTTGTGACCCTACTGAGCAAGGACCTTTGCAATGTCTTGTACGTGCCCCAGCTCGGCAGCACACTCAACCGTAATGAAACTGCAGTCCGAGACGTTTGGTGCTCGATACAGTGGGGCAGGAGACCGGGTTGCCATTGCCCCCAGGGCAGGACGGGATCGTTGGTGTATTTGTTTTCAGGGGTTGTTTGGGGCACTCTGCGAAATGCCATCTCTGTTGCCCAGCACAAATTCCCATACACCTGCTGACAGCTGGTGCCTGGCTGCACGTTCTGCTTCCCTACCCGTTCTGTTTATTTTATTCCACAGTGTGGCAAAATGAGATTATGCAACATAGGTGTGCTTGGTGTCAGATACTGCTGTTGACAGTGATGGTCCAGGCTTCTGGAACGGAGCGGTTTAATTGTGCAGCTTATGGCATTCCTCTCTTTCCTTTATAAGCATACCAGCCAATTAACTTGACAGGTATTTCTACCTCACTGCTATGGTATCTGCATGGATCCTTTACCTGGAGCAGCCATGGAGTTACCTTCAGGGACTGCTACACTACTGCAGTTTTAGGATTAATTAGCAGTTAGCAGGTGTGGCACTTATTTTGTCCGCAGAAGTAAACACTACTTAACTCTAGGAAATGGTGCAATACTAGGATCTGTGAACTGTTTTTCCCCACTGCTACTGTTCTTTGACCATTCTATTAGTATTTGCAGCCTTTGGCTGCTTTTCTCCTCAGTATTGCTCCTTTGAACTCAGTGTACTTACCGTCTGCTCAGTCCAACAGGCAGATGCTCTGCCAACATAAGTTAAAAGTTCCCATTGGCTTTGTAGTAGTATTTACAGGGAATTGATACCAGAAACAAATGATTTGTTTTCACATTTAATGGGTATGCACCTGAGAAGTGGACATGCATAGGGTTTTGTAACTACAGCGAGTGCTGCCAGGCCAGGGGGGGGATGAGATTCCCTTGGCAAAAGAATACTAACTGTTAAGTTTTAAGCTAACATAATTTTGCCTCGGGAATATCCTGTTTGTGTTTCTTTTGGTAGTATTTGGTTAAAGGATGAAAATAAAGTCAAAAGGTAGAATTCAAGATTAGATCTGTGTTCTGCAGTACAGCTTGTTTTGGCCCTATAGGTGGCCTTGAAAGTAAATGGGACAGAGTTGATTTAAAGAGCTTCTGTTTTGTTCCTGCCCATTTTGCATGTTGAAGGAAACCTGGAAAAAAATGTGGAAATGGAGAGATCTCCCAGTAAATTCCATGTACTTCAGAAGTGTGTTTTTAGGTATAATTTTGATGCAGCAAACCACAAAGTGAACAGGATTTTTTTACTTCTTTCACTGGCATCGGGGGTCTTTGTACCATGCAATATGATAAATCAAGTATCGAAAGATATCACTAATAACCTAAACTCCTGTGGAGTTGGCACAAAGGCTATCCTGGGGGTGCAGGGTAAGGAGAACATAGAGCTCTGAAAGGTGTCTGTTCATCGTGCACTGATTGACAAGCACTAAACATCTGTAATGTGTGATTATGTTAGACTTGAATTTGATCTGGGAGTGCTGCTTGTTAGTTCATAACCACATCCTGGGCTAACACATCTCCAGCTTCAGAGTTTTATGTAGACCAGGAAATGGTTTTTTGTCTGTTTTGGGTTTTTTTTTTTCCTCTTTCCATAGATACAGGTCAAGTTCAAGTGCTGTTATCCCACTGTGGGCAAGCATCAGAATGCAGTCTCCCGCCATGAATGAAAAAGACCAGTAAGAGATAGCTCCTTTTTAAAGTCAATGCTGAATTAAAGTCTCGAGGTCAAATTCAGCCCTTGGCCTTACACTGTGGTTGCAGTTTGGTCTCCTGCGTGTGCATGTTTTTTGATGGACAATAAATGGAAACAATCTTGCACAAAGTCAAAGCCATTTTCTATTCTGCATCTTCAATAATATTTCATTTATAGTTCAAAATTATAAGTTTTGTTGTATTCGCTTGCAAATTCTGTAGTTTGAAGAGAGACTGGTATTTTATTTTGAATAATCTCATGTCTTTCAGATTGAATAACATTTATGTTTTGAGTAGATAAGATAACAGTTCCAGCAGCAATAAATTTCCTGTTGTCACACTATCTTTTTTCCTTAAGCATTTCTAACTAAGCAGTTGGCCTTGTTAGGCGGTTTCGGTTAGCATTAGCAATTAGTGCCTTTCCCTAACAGTGGGGTCTGTTAGCTTTGTTCATTACAAACATTTTCAAACATTTTTGATTAATTGGAGTGTTTTATGTCTGAGAACTTCTGTCTTCCTCTTCTTGTGTGATGGAGTTAGTACTGATTTTTTTTTAAAAATTGTCTCTTTCTGCTTGGATATTTTTTTTTTTTTTTTAGCTAAATGGTCTTCTGAATGTTTTATAAAGAGGTTATTATTGTAGTTTCTCCTAAAGGATATGCTGTGTTTGTGCTTCACTTCCTGAGAAATGAATGAAGGGAAGGAATAGTTTGAGTATAATCCTATTTATTACATAAAGCCACAATTTCTTTTTCCCTAAACTGGCTTTTTTTTTTTTAATTTTACTTCACTGCTGATTACAGTATTGCATTTGAAATAGTTCTTTCTGTTCTCAGGAACAGTTCAGTACATTTGTTTTAATCTAATAGGTGACACATTTCTCAAAAGCAAACTAGGTCTCATATTTGGAAGTGGCTCAGGTTCTCTCAGTCTCATTCACATTAAACTGTTTTTGCACCCTTGAATGCGTAATACCATTTAAATGACTTCTTAAACATTTTTCCCATTTCCTTCTTTTGTTGAGCAAGGGTGCCAAAAGGAAAAACAAAATATCTGTGGGTGCAAGTCCTTGTTCTCACTCTTGCATCTTTCTCCTCACACCACCAAGGGCTTTTAGAAGACCCAGTTGCAGAGTTTAACAACTTGTGTTACCTCGTATATTTAATTTCCCAAGACCGTTAAATGCTCACATAAATATTCTTAACATGAATAGATCACTTTGAAAAAGAGAGTTGTTATATGAGTGGTAAATATTGCTATCTTGGCTCAGATCTAAGGTGAGCTTGTTGGATATCTTTTTCTTTCCAGAAATACGTCTTCAGTCTGCTTTAAATTCTGCCTTCCACTGCCCAGCTCTCTGCTGGACGGCTCTGCTGAGCGTAGGTGAGGACAGAAACTATGAAGATTCCTTTAAGAGGGGCCCAAACCATGTTACAGCTTGGACCCTAAGACAATTTGGGGAGGAGAAACCAGCTCCCTTGACCTCTGGCAAATGTGACTGGTCAAAGGATAGCAGTCTTCCTCTTGGTATTGCTTCCCCAGGTACAATTTTATGTAGATGGCTGGAAAGAGAGCAACTGAGGCCAACGTGCCTGACAAGTGCAGCATGGGAAGTGGGCTGTAGGGAATTACTCCCTTTGCACGTTCAGTCATTTTAGTTCAAACCCAACAAGGAAGAGGTGGGATCTGATGGTAGAACATTGTACTAATTAAACAAAAATTCCCAAGATTTTAAATGCTCAAAGGTGGTGCTGACACCAAAACAAATAACTAAGCT